AATCCTCATTTTCGAGAGACGGTCTTGCGGATACCGATGTAAAGACTTTGGACTATTTGGGACTCGCGGAGACCCCCCAACAAGCACGAGCCAACCTTGTAAGACCATCTGTCGATGTTCTCTTGCAGCAACAAGAACAGCAACAGGCATCTGCGTTGCCGCCACTGCTTGCTGAACTGGCGATGATGAAAAACAACAACCGGTTCCGGTCTTATTCTGTCAATGCTAAGGAGAAATACGCAGACGATGAGGATCTTGAGTATGCCACTCGCTATTCTCAAATCCCTTCTGGCACTGTCACCCCTTCTGCCGCAGCGACAGCCGCTCAACTGGCTGCGACGCAGGCCCAGATCCATCAACATAATCTTGCCGTGCAAGCATTCGCCAACCATGCTTCGGTCAACCGACCGCGAGCAAGAACGGCCGGTGTGTTAGAAGCTCCTCCCCAGAGATCTTCAATTCGCAACTATCTTGCCACTCCGTCTCGCCTCGAAAACAGCTTCAGTGCTGCGGATCTTCATATCGCCGAAACCGGTGAATACGATGAGCTATCCGAAGCCGTGCAGATGATGAACCTCGGAGGTAATGGTGGCCAAAACCTGGGTCTTCGCGCGAGCGGAGAGGCTGCTGACGAAAGCAACCAAGATGGGCCTACGCGAGCCTTGTGGATTGGCAGTATTCCAGTCTCCACGACTGTCACCTCGCTCGAGGCGATCTTTGGCATGTATGGCAAGATTGAGTCTACCCGTGTTTTGACGCACAAGAACTGCGGCTTTGTCAACTTTGAGCGCCTGGAAAGTGCCGTGCAAGCCAAATCGTTGCTTAATGGCAAGGAGATCTTCCCAGGGGCAGGCCCCGTTCGGATAGGCTATGCCAAAGTCCCTGGCAGCTCTGCATCTGGCACCCCTGGGCCTAACGGCGTGCAGTCTTCGCCCACTCCCGACCTGAATTTTAAGTCTGGTGTTTCCGATGGCCAGGACAAGTCTGACGCTGTGGGCACGTCTGCGCCCCAAATTCCTGCCCTACCTGACCTTAAACCGGAAATGATCCAGATTGTCAAGGAATTTGGCGCTACCGATGATGATACACTCAATATCACTGCTGCTATTCAGCGAGCCATCGCATATCAAGCTTTCGAAGACGAGATCCCTCCTATTCCTGAACCCAGCCAGACCAGGATGTTCGATGCTCCACGTCTTCGAGACATCCGCAAGAGGATAGACAACGGCGCTTGTTCAATCCAGGAGATTGAGGAAACTGCGGTCGCAATGCTTCCAGAGATTGCGGAACTGTCCTCCGATTATCTGGGCAACACTGTCGTTCAGAAACTCTTCGAGTATTGCTCAGAGCAGACTAAAGAACAGATGCTCGTTCCCATTGCGCCTCATTTTGCTGAGATAGGTGTTCACAAGAATGGTACCTGGGCTGCTCAGAAGATCATCGATGTCGCCAAGACCCCCACGCAGATGAAGATGATTGTCGATGCTCTTCGTCCCTACACTGTGCCGCTTTTCCTTGACCAATACGGCAATTATGTCTTACAATGCTGCCTGCGTTTTGGCGCTCCATTCAATGACTTCATTTTCGAGACCATGCTAAGCCGTATGTGGGAAATTGCTCAGGGACGCTTCGGCGCTCGAGCCATGCGAGCCTGTCTCGAGAGCCACCACGCCTCAAAAGAACAGCAACGGATGCTTGCGGCTGCCATCGCCCTTCACAGCGTACAGCTCGCGACGAATGCAAACGGCGCCTTGTTGCTAACTTGGTTCTTGGACACCTGCACATTCCCTCGTCGCCGTACCGTACTCGCCCCACGACTTGTTCCTCATCTGGTCCATTTGTGCACTCACAAGGTCGCTTACCTGACCGTGCTCAAAGTGATTAATCAGCGCAACGAGCCCGAGGCTCGTGAGATTGTTTTAAGGGCGTTATTCTTCAGCCCCGGGGATGAGGTCTTGGAGAAGATCTTGAGTGACCAGACTTCTGGGGCCACACTGATCTTCAAAGTCTTGACCACGCCTTTCTTCGACGAGTCCATGCGCGCAGAAGTCGTGAAGAATGTGGCAAAGGTGCTCACAAAACTGAAGGCAACTCCCAACCAAGGCTACAAGCGCCTCATGGATGAGGTTGGACTATCTTCACGTGGAGGCGCTCGGGACAATCATCACGGGCGAGAACATTCAGGTCATTCTGAAAATAAGCAGCATCGTCCCACTTCTCGGCAAGCACAATCGACCATGGACAAGCAGTATAATGGACAGTTCGCGCCCGGTCTTCTCGCTCAAAACATGGACAACACAAGGTCGATTTCTGAGCAGCAACCAAGTGCTACGCCATTCGACCCTTACTCGATCAACGCTGTCAACGGCATGGGCCCCACCGGTGCCGTCAACTCTCTCAATGGGCTTGCTGGAATGAATGGAGCTGGATTTATCCAGGATCCCCTGATGCCCCTCACTCAGCAACAGCTGCAGTACCAAGCTTACCTAGCCGCCCAATCCCGGGGCGTCTCGCCCGCTGGTCTTTACCCTACTCTGGGTAACCCCAGTTTTGGCTACCCAGCCGGAACACCGTCTGTGGATGGTCTTCGGCAGGCTGCTCCTATGCCTGGAACATCCGCTCAATTGCTGAACCAGCAGGCCTTTGCTCCTCAGCAGTTCAGCCCTGTCATGGGCACGCCCCAGATGTATCAGTACCCTCCTCAGTTCTATTCGCAAACACCTCAGGCCCCTGGACAGTCGGCTGGGGGACGTCGCGGACGTGTAAGTTCATCTCGAAACGATTGATATGGTGTATGACCTAACTGTGTTGCTTAGCGTTGATTTTGCATATTCGACACACTGGGCCAACCTTGTGATGAAAGTCTACGCCTTGTACAAATTTATCTCTTCCTGTTTGTTTTCAGCATAAATCAAAAACGGAATACCTGCTTTTCTGGAGCGAAACGACCCTACATACCTAGACTGACGCTGGCACGTCTCGGGGAGGGGGAAGAGGAATGACACGTGGAAAAGTATTGCAGTTCGTATCTGCTTGAGAATAGCTGGTCTCATACTCGGTCAACGAGTCTTGAAATCACGACAGTTACCTGAGCATACGGTGGTGCGGTCATGATCAGTTTTGTCAAATATAGTTTCATCGGTGGCAGCTATTGCCGCTGCTTGCCTTGAGAGCTCTTCCGCCTCCGTCAGAGGCAGAGGGCTTTTATAGGTTCTTTATAAGTTTTTGAATGTGTGACGTGCAGTCATGAGCGATCTCTCATGTATAGAATTGTAACGCCTGTACAGCAAGTAAGATGCACCATGTTATGTCGCTATCAAGACACTTTAAATGTGAAAGGTCTTTAAATCGCATCACTGCATGCAGTATAATTCCATATTTGTTCCCTATTAATGGTGGCAGCTTCCAATTTAGTGCTGCTGATATTGCTGACTCTTTGGGGGCTCTGAAAACAATGATGCTACGTAGTCGCCGAATTCCCTTCCCTTGTAACAACACTTTAACCATCCAACTTGGGAAACACAACCAGCTGATACCACCATGTGATGATGACACAACACTCTATCCTCTACCAAAATGCAGGAAAAACAATCTTCTTGATTGACATCCCGACGTCGATCGCATCCGCACAGGAACTTTCACCGGTGCAGTTGGGAGCCACACTGTGCAATCACTACCCTGCCGGGAATGGGATAGATAATCACAGAAAGCGTCTTCTCTTATCTTCAGAACCCCTAGACAAGCCGTACGCAGTATCCACAGAGCCAAAATCAGCTGCTGCGAAGGCTAGAGTCCTCAGTAGAATTCCGGCCTCTGAGCAGGCCTACCAGACCGAGATCATTGATCCTCTGGTTCGCGTGGCATTGCAGGAGATTAGCCGCGCCCACTCGGACTCTGCAGACTGGTGTCGCGAGAGAAAGGTCCGAGAGGAAGAGACGCAGCTGAAGAGGAAACGAGATGGAGCATGGAGCAGAACGTCCTCTTGCGAGGATGGGTGCTTAGCGGATGATGCGCTGGGTGTATCTGCTCCTACTAGCCCGCCGGTTATCCTGTCGCCGGGATTAAATAAGTTCGGATCCTGGCCGGAACTTTGCAACGTTGTGGTTAGGAATACGTCTTCGGCGCAAGCGTTGCTGGGTGTCCGCTGCAAGGTGGAGGCTGAGAGCGAGCACAGTGAGGTAACGCCGGCGAATCGACATGTCTTCTTGGTGCCCCCGTTGTCTACTTTCTTGCTGTGCTCGCTGCCGCTATCGGCAGAGGATGAGGCGAGCCAGGGCCCTATCCCGGGTCTATCTCCGGACCTCAAATTCAACTTGATCCTCCTCGACCCGCCCTGGTCGAACCGCTCCGTTCGTCGCAGCGGGCATTATCAAACACAGTCCTATTATGACGTGGACTTACTGTCTAAGCGCATAGGGGATATACTGAAGATCCATCTATCGGATAACCCGGAGTGTGTATCCGTCGCAGCAATCTGGATAACCAACGCGCCAAGAGCACGCAGAGCTGCATACGATGCCATTAAGGGAGCAGGGTTGTCTGTGCAGGAAGAATGGGTATGGATCAAAACGACGACGAAGGGCGAGCCCACCACGCCGCTAGACGGACTATGGCGGAAGCCGTATGAGATCCTTGTTATTGGAAGGAGAATGGATCGGCCGTCTGATACCGTCCATGCTATTACGCGGAGGGTCATCGCGGGCGTGCCGGATGTGCATTCTCGAAAACCAAATCTCAAGGAGGTCTTTGAGCAGGTATTCTTCACGAGGTCAGGGTCTGGCCCGACGACGGGCGATGCTTGTATGGCGTATTCTGCGTTGGAAGTTTTCGCGCGTAATTTGACTGCCGGTTGGTGGGCCTGTGGGAATGAAGCTTTGAAGTTCAATTCAGAAGATTGGTGGGTTGCAGCCTGAGGTTTATGTACTTCCAGTGGTGGCATTCTATGCGGTTGTACATGTCTTGTGTAGCTACCATGACCTCAGGGTCCATCTGGCGTACGAACAACATCCATTGATACACTGTATCTGGTTATCTGGGAAGACAGTTCCAACGCCCGAGACGCCTTTAGGCGAGGCATGATAGCCTTCCAATTTGTCTACTATACACAGTCGTAACATACCACGCAATGATAAACCACTTCAACCACCATCAAGGCTTCGTCAACAGCCTCAATCAAAAGAAGGCCCCAGGCTAACTAGACTGAATCTCAAATCCGGATTACCCACCCGAACCTCCGTCTGCAGAAACCTCCTGACCCCCAACTCCAGCGCCTTATCGCTCAACGCATCCTCATCATCCGCCAACCGTCCCTCTCCAACGGCCCTTTCCTCCTCCCATCAAGCTCCCACAGCCGCCCATCAGACCCCTTCACAAACGCCACAAAATGCAAATCGACGTTATCCTCCGCCTGCGGCGCAGCCGTATCCCCAACCGCGCCGCGTCCGCATGCGCACTCTCCAACGCCTTACTCTCATACAGCAAGTCCGCCCTGGCGATGGGACCCAGCGGCTCCGCTTCACGTAGGAGAGTGTCCAGATCAGAGCCAGGGACGACATGTTTGCGCGGTTCGCCGTTTGCTACGGCGTGCAGGAGTCCAATCAGCCCGCAGGCGTTGCGGATCGTCTGCTTGAACCACATTACTGGCTCTCCGGGGCCGGAGCCGTTGTATTCGGGTAAAGGTCCGTCTTCAGCGACGCGGGAGGCTTCGTAGGATGGGGTGACGGGGAAAACGAGGAGGAGAGCGTGTGAGGGGCGGGGACGAGGGCGAGGAGGTCAGGCTCGTCGATTGAGTAGATGTCTGTGAAGCCTAGGGTGGGTGGGAGGCCCAGTTGGTGGACGAGGTGGGACATGACTTCGGGGTTGTTTTCTGCGAGGGTATTAGCATTTATACTATGGATCATCGATGAGCTTGGAGATATGGTACTTACCAAGAGGCACGAAGGCCTTGTTTGTGTTGGGGACATCCACATGCTCTGTCATGATGGGTCGATTGTTGAAGTGTCTTGTAAACTATTGATCGAAAGCTTTGTAGATTACAGATTGAATTTGAGCTCGGATTTTTGTCGAAAAAAAAGATTATGGAAGGATTGTTGGGGGTTTGTAAAAAGATGGAACTGACAGTTGCGCAGTGAGGGGTGATTGACGTCGCTTTGCGGGGTTGAAGATATTCCGTTTCGGGAAATAAATACATATTGAAACTATCGCACGCCTCCACCTACTTGGCTTATCTAGGAAACAACGAGCTATACGCAATTTCAGGAACACAATAGATACAGCTTTTTGGGAGCATAAAGGTACTTGGGAGCGTCAGTTGTGAGTGGATTTGCTCAGAATACTATCTAATATAATGGACATTTCTCCTTCATATAACGAACGTTCAACGTGTTCTAGCATAATTCTAAGTATCATCAGTCATGACTATCGCACTCTCAGTTCCCAATTGCTGGCTTCGACCCGTTCTTCAGTGGATAGAAGACATTCGTCCACAGATCGCTGGCTTCTCCGAGGTAGTATGTCAAACTGACATCCGCCATGCTTGCATCCTGGTCCCCAGACAGAGTCTCCAATTGAGAAATGAGATTTTCCAGCCCAAAGGCTTTCCCTGTTGCTTGTGTTGCACCCGCCTCAAGCATGACGTTGACCACGTGGATGTGAAAGTGGTAGTAGGTCGGTTGGTCTAGCATCGCAATTAGTACACATTCCGTCGACCCAGGCAAAACCACCCTATTGAATAATACTTACAATGAACGTACAGCTTGAGCTGGTCCTGCTCCAATTCTGGATACATCTTCACTGTTCCCTCAAGCAGCCTCTGCCTCAGATACCGTAACCAAGAGATATGCTTCTTCTTCAGATCACGCAAACTCCAGATATCTCGTCGCTGCACAAGAGCGAGCAGATGCAGAGAGCTCATCGTTTTTCTGTCCCAGTTGAGGTCAGGGAGCATCAGGAACCCATCATCGGGACCCTCACCCGCGTCCCGTAAAATCACATCCTCCTGCTCCGTCCGGCCTTCAAGGATGTTAAAGACCCAGTTCAGTCTCCCTTCCTCCCGTTGAGCGCTCATATACGGCCGCACATAATCACGGTAGATCTCCGGCGTCTCGGTCACCATGCGTAGTTGCTGATCAGAGTACTTTTTGATGTGCTTTTCCGTGCAAGGCCAGATGAGATTCAGTTTGAGATCATGAAACTGCTGTTCACCCTGGCCTGCGCCTGAATTCGCCAAGTACCATCGGTATATGTCATTGTCGCCGAGATTGTTTACTCCGCTGATTGTAGCGTGGAATGCCTTAAGGACTTCGGGGGATTCGGTTGCGAATGCTGCCCGCTCTGCGATCAGGATGCCTTGCTTGCCGTCAATAGATCCGAGTATGGCAATACGGCGACCATTTTGATCTACAAAGTTCCATATTCAGTATATGGTGCGAAGGGTATCAGAGACACCCTGCTTTGTGAGTCTGAAGTTGAGCGGAGATGATCTATACCTTGCTTGAGGAGTCTGTGGACTTCAAAATTGGGAATTAAAGCCTCAGGGGTGATCCTCTCACCACTGTCGAGAATCTGCATTGTGAACTGGAAGAAGGCACTTGATCGTAAAAACAATCACGGCAGCAGTTGGGAATTTCAATGTTATCCCTACCCCAAATCGTTCGGGCAGAACCTACACTAATCAGGCGGTCAAGAGCTTATCTTATCAATACGAATGCAGGTAACATCTGCAGTATGAATCGTAAAATTTTCTATGCAGAAAATGCTGTAGACAGGGCACTAGGCTGAGAATGAAGAGTCTTGATGACTGTATCGCTAGCAGATACCGGCAGTCGCATCGCCTTTCCAGCGACACAGCGTGGACACCTTATTACAGCGGTGTAATCTCGTTGCCGGGCTGCAGTTTCCAGGGCATTGCTTCCATCAGACGGCAGTAGAAGTCGACCTAAAAAGCGCGGCTGATTTTCTAGGGCAACATTACGCATGACTCAGTACTTAGAGTCTGGCACCCATCCGCCAACCCGAGTTGGAAAGAACTCGAGCTAGCAATTGGTTGTTACTTCGAACGATGTTGCCCATATCGCTCATTGCACCTACGAGCGGCCAGCGCCGCAACAACTGATCACTGAGGCTGAGCCTGCATCCCAGGCTCGGACGAGTGGTGACAAGCCATTGGTTCAGCTTAAATACCACTGGGAGTTCAAGTGGAACTTGTCTTTGAGTCGCTGGGTTGCGTATGCAACTAGGTTGAAGGTTAGCCACCAGTCCGATCAGTGGTTGTCTCTGCATACCGCTTCAGCCATCTTCAACCACTCTTCGACTCCCTTGACGAAAGCATCATCGGCCGCCGGCAACTCTTCATGGCCCCAGACCATAAATTCGTCAAAAGTAGCCTGCTTTTCCAGAATCTTTGTCGGCTCTTCTTGCTCGACTTGAATATCCTCGGCCTCATACCCAGTGTCCCTTCTCTTAGGCGGTAGAACACTCTCAGTAGGCTGCACAACTACTCCTGTAGGGCTAGGTTAACATATTGTACTACCGATGCTCCGCAGATGCAGGTCGTACCTTGATAGCCTTCCGGAATTGCAACACGTCGGCCTCGAAGTCTGCGTCCTCGGAAGTAAGCAGTCTGTAGAGGTTCGTCTACCTGAATGTTAGCAGACAGACGAAGATCGAGGGAAGAATGACTCCGTATGCCTAACACAACGCTTACCTTTCTCATCCGATACGGGGTTCCAGAAACGCTCTAGCGACTCGACGAACCCATCATAGTGGATTCTACAGGGAAGAATATTAGGAGTGCAATTCTCCATCGACTTCTCATTTCCGGCTGCAGATGACTGCTTTTGAGATTCTTGGATTGCGAACATTTCTAGAGCAGCCGACGGGAAGACTTGTTGAGTACTGTATGCAGGTTGCAAGGCAATCAGAAGAGGAGTTAGAAATTAATTGGCGCTTGTTCAATGCCTGCACTTTTATAAGGGATGTTTTGTTGGAGCAGCGTGGTTGTTCTGCGGAACAAGCTGACACGACGCGTTGCCGCGTTAAGTGGATAGGAAATGCGCCATCCCAAAACGGTCAAATTGCTGCAGATTCAACGTACTATAGACAAGCGGAAATATGTAATGATGCTGGACTACGGATGGAAATGAGAATGAGGGGTTATATACTGAATTGTAATCAAAATAGAGAGAATTTTTCCTGAGTTATCTGATTATTCGAAGCTGGTCCTTCAAAATAATGGATGATGCGATATGTACACAAGAGACGGAAGTCTAGGGGTATATAAGGTCTCCAACTGCAGCTATGAGGTTTTGACTACCTCTTACGAGGCTTCTTCTTCTTCTTCTTTTTCTTCTTCTGGTCCTCGCCATTCTCCTTTTTGTCGATGACGACGCGAATTGGCCATTTCTTCAAATGTTCCCGCTCGAAGGCCTCTTTATCTCGTCTATACAGGAGCATTGTAGCCTTCGCATCTTCGACACTAGAGTGCGCGCCGTCCTGGATATTCAAGCCTAGAAACTCCGACGCCAGCATTTTCAGGCGTGGAGAGCCGCCGCCTGCGATCTTTCGGTAAGGAGGATGCTTGCTTGTGTCTCTGATGTCGCGCTTCGGATGGCCCAGAAGAAGAGCATCCAAATCATTGCTCACAGCATGCCCAACGAGTATGCGTCCGTCAAGAATCTCTGCGACGTCCTTCTGGACTTGTTCGAGAGATCGAGCCTCCGCCATGTGCTTGGGAGAAATGCCGCTCACATGTGTCCGCCAATCTGTAACCATCTCTTTGGGCCTGACGTACGAATCATAAACTTGTTCGCCGTTGAAGTTGACAATACTGACACGCGCGAGGGCAGAATCGTTATCGGGGTTGGGACCGACTCCCACCATTTCGCAGTCCATAGCGACATATTTACCTATTTCTGCGCTGAAGAGAGGTTAGATGACACAGGTAGTATATATAGGATAGAAATTACTAACGTAGGTGAACGGCCCTCGTTAATTTTTGCTGGCTTGGACTCAGTCCGCGATTGCTCGGAGACCGTAGCCGTAGAGCTTTTGCGGGAAATAGTTTTCACCACAGATTCCTGTGCGCTCTTGTCCCCTCCATGCTCTTGTCCCTCGGACATTCTTCTCTTCTTTAATGAAGCCTTTTTGCGCTCTATTGTCTCTGTTCTCTGCTTCTTGGTCGTAACATTTTGAGTCTCGCGGTCTGATGTCTTGCGTTTCTTCGAGGCCGAGGAAGCGCTTTGTTTTTTCAGCGTTTCCTGAAGTTTCTTCCAATTACTGGAAAGATTATTGACGTCCATGCCAAAGGTATGTGCGATACTAAAGCATCATGATTGTCCGAGTGAAAGAGAAAATGGTGTTGAGAAGGGTATGATTGTAGCATTCCATATCTTTCTCCAAAAAATCGGCGATTAGATAGATGCGCTAAAAATTTGGACAACCTTAGGCCCCACTCAGGCAACCATTTTAGTCTCGAACATGCATGGCTTTATAGAGCCCATACTAGATCTACCTTTAGCATTGAGGGCACAGAAAAACAGTAGGTTGAGTGACTAAGGCCAATTGCGAGATTGAGAATGTGGAATGATTTCTATATTGCAAAGCCAGTTCATAGCAACACGCTTTTCTGAAGTGCGAAAAAGGAAACCTAATTATCAAATATCCAATCCTGGGACCTTGAAATCCTTGTATGTCCACTTCTCCGTCAGCTTTCTCTTCGCCTTCTTGGCCTGTGTCACCGGTTTGCGAGATTCCAGCTTTCCTTGCACTATTAACGTGCGGAAGCGGTCATCTAGCAGATTTCCTTCCGGCTTCAGTAGACGTAATGAGTCTTGAAGTTCGTCTGGGAGTACAACCTCCAAAGGTTTCTCGGGCACACTGTTGCCAAGTCAGTACGTGTGAGATCCGAAAATCAAGAAGAAAAACATACCGGGCTTTGCCCAATGGCTTACGCCTCAAGGCGACATCATCTCCTTCTTCCGAAGAATCATCCCCAGACTCCTGGCTGCGTTCGAGTTGTCTCTGCTGCACCTGTTCCGCGATAGCCTTGGCTTGCTCAAGTTGCTCTTCCTTCTCTTTCATCTTGGCTTCCCATCTAGCTTTCCTCTCGGCCTCCTTGCGCCTCTTGATTTTATTTCTCTCTGCCTTCGTCTTCCGCGCCGGACGTTTCTTGTTCAGCCACTCTGGTTTCTCATATTCACTTTCGAATCCCTCCCAGGCACTCTCATCATCAGATTTGACTTCGCCGTCATCATTTTGTGCCTCGGCAATAAGGCGTTGCCTCTCTTGCTCCTTTCGCTCTTCTTCCAAGCGCTTCTTCTCAGCCTCTACGGCTTCTTGCCCCTTTTCTTGGAGAAGACGATCCCAATCCTCAAATGACGGGTTGTAACTGATGCCAGCATCTGGTGTACGAACAGACGGGATTGGCTTTCCATTCGCGGCAAGTGAAATCGGAGGTTGCTTGATCGTGGGAGGTGCAGCTTTGGGCTTGGGCTTCTCGAGGTAATCAAACTGAGGATCTTCAACAGGTGTTGGGTCTTCAGCATCTGCCCAAGGGTCGTAAAGTTCGCTTCCTTCCGCCTTCTGAGTCGGATTCGCTTCCTTGGCCACCTGCTTCAAGCGCAGCCATTCCTTGCGGGTGACCCAGTCGCTCTTGTGCCTCTTGGATTTCGGTTCGATCACACCGTCTGTGACTTTTGAGTTCAAACGTTTGCGGGTATCCACTGCAGGAATTGCAGAACGCTGGGCTAGAATCTCATCGGCCTTCAGAGGCTTGTGCTGTTTGAAGTATGCATCTCTGATCTCGGCGGAGCCCTTCTTATCGATGACGAACAATTCTTCTGAAGGCTTTTCTGCTAGGACACCACTGTATAGAAGGACTTAGATCAGCATATAAGATCGGAAAAGGCTTCTAGATAAGGGTCCATTCGAGGGCACATACCCTTTGATTTCTTCATCTTTCAGAAGACGAAGGCCTTCCTGGACCTCCGTAACGTCGACATTTTTTCTCCAGGCCTTCTTGCCCTTACGGGAAGGCTGCTTGAATTGACTTGGAGCTTCGACCACGGCCGACATTATGAAGCCCTTTGCAGTCAGATTCAAATTGTCAAATTGTAGTCTGTGTCTTTTTTGTCGCTGCGATAATGATCTGAAGAAATTCCAAAAATCTGGACCCGCTTACCTAATGCGGTATCGCGGGGGCGACGCTAGGGCGGCTGCCGCGCTAAGGTTCCTTTGCGGCGTAACTGGTGTGCTCAAGTTAGACCTTCCTGCTTGAATCTCTCTTTCTGAACGGCGTCGATTCTCCATCGACTCTGGCCAGTGCAGTTTCATTTACTGCATCAGAGAAATTCAAAGGTCCTTTTATTTGTATATTAGCACCCAATTTTGTTGGTGGAAACCGTTCGCGCTGAACGACCACATTCGCCATGCCCGTTGTCAAAGGAGGAGTCTGGTAAGTCTATCTGCGCCTTTCGATTCTGAGTAACTCGGCATGGCTAATGGGTGATTAGGACCAATATTGAGGATGAAGTTCTCCGGGCGGCTGTATGTCTTGCGTTCTACTTTACTTGGAGGACGGCCGATAGAGTTTGTGTGAGCTGACACGGCTTTCTTTCGTCTAGGTATCCAAGTATGGCCTGAACCAATGGGCGCGAGTCTCTTCGCTCCTTGCGAGGAAGACCCCTAAGCAATGCAAAGCACGATGGGTAGAGTGGTTGGACCCTGGTATTCGCAAGGTCGAATGGTCGAGGGAAGAAGACGAGAAGCTGCTGCATCTGGCGAAGTTGATGCCAACACAATGGCGTACAATCGCCCCTATTGTCGGAAGGACAGCAACACAGTGCCTTGAACGCTATCAGAAATTGCTAGATGAAGCCGAGGCCCGGGAAAACGATGAGCTGGGCTTGGGAGGTCCCTCTGGCGGCGAGGCGGCTGCGCCTAGTGCGGACGATGTGAGACGGTTAAGGTATGAAGTCGCACTGAATTGAAAAGACGTTCGCTTTGCTAATAACTTTGAAGACCCGGTGAATTAGATCCCGATCCGGAATCGAAACCTGCCCGTCCCGACACGATTGATCTCGACGAAGATGAGAAGGAAATGCTGAGTGAAGCTCGAGCTCGTTTGGCGAACACCCAAGGAAAAAAGGCGAAGCGCAAGGCTAGAGAGCGGCAACTCGAAGAGTCCCGAAGACTAGCTGTCCTGCAAAAACGTCGTGAACTCAAAAATGCTGGCATCAATATCAAGGTTGTTACCCGTAAGAAGGGTGAAATGGACTATAACGCGGACATCCCATTTGAGAAGCCAGCAGCACCTGGATTCTACGATACCATGGAGGAGGAATCTCGAAACGAAAGACAGCGAGAAATGTTTGATCCTCGAAAACAACAACTTGCGAACAAGCGAAAAGGAGATCAGGAAGAAGACGCGGACAGGAAGAAGAGAAAGAACGACAAGAATGGTAGCTCCGCTTTCGCTGCTGCCGCAAGGGCCGGTCAAATGCAGAAGATCCGCGAGGCTGAGCAGAGCAGTAAGAGACGAGCTCTTGTCCTGCCAACTCCTCAAGTGAGCGAAAGCGAAATGGAGGACATTATCAAAATGGGCATGGCTGGAGACAGGGCCAAGAAGATGTCTGGAGACGAAGAAACAACTCGAGGTTTGATCGGTAACTACACTTCTATCGTCGGAGGGACGCCGATTAGGACACCACGAGCGCCGCCAGAGGAGGATCATATCGCCAATGAGATCCGAAATATCAGAGCCCTGACTGAAACGCAATCATCTTTGTTGGGTGGTGAGAATACGCCTCTGCACGAAGGAGGTTCTTCTACTGGTTTTGATGGCATCGCTCCTCGGCGACAACAGATCGTTACGCCTAATCCAATGGCGACTCCTTTCCGACAAGCCAATGCTTTGGGAGCGACTCCATTGCATGGTGGGATCGGGCCAGGGGCAACCCCACTCAGAACTCCTAGAGATCAGTTCGCGCTCAATCAGATGGAAGGCGGACAGCTGATTGGCACCACACCGAGAGATATCAGATTACACCAGAAAGCCGTCAGTCAAGGTATTCGTAGCAAGTTGTCGTCGCTCCCGAAGCCTAAGGAAACCGAATGGGAACTCGAGGAACTTCCCTCGGAGTCTGCAGAGCCCACTGCTGCGGCGGAGATTTCTGAAGAGGATGCTGCGGAGCGTGATCGGAAAGAGAGAGAGGCACGGGAGAGAGCTGCGCAAGCTGAGTTGAAACGCCAGACCCAAGTTTATCAGCGGGGACTGCCACGTCCGAGTGTCCTCGATATCGATGCTCTGATGGCGCGTGCCTCACAGGTTACCGATCCCATCAATGGCATGATCGCTAAGGAAGCCGCTCTGTTGATTGCCAACGACGCTCAAAAATTCCGCCTTCCCAATGGCAAGGTTGAAGGCAAGGCACGGAAACTGGAGCGACTTGACGATGAACTCATCGAAGCAGCGCGTGCTGCCATTGTAGCGGAAGTTGCTTCGTCTGATCAGCAACAGGAATGGCTGGAAGGTTTTGATGATCGTTGGTCGTCAACGCATTCCAGCACCCTCCCAGGGCTCGCCAACTACGGTGACGACGATGAAGAGGAGGATATGTACCGACAAGAACAGCGAATGATTGACGCTTTCGAGAATGTGCAGGCTTCTCTGCTAGCTACAGCAGAGCGAGGAAACAAGCTTGAGAAGAAGCTGGCGCTGCACTATGGCGGCTATCAGAACCGCGCGAAGACCCTTCGAACCAAGATTGTCGAGGCCAGCTCTGCTCTAGAAAACTCGAAGGATGAGTTGAATTCTTTCCAGACCCTACAAATATCCGAAGAATCCGCTATCTCGCGAAGGCTCGAGAAGCTCCGTGACGATGTTGCCTTCGTTCTGAAGAGAGAGCGGGAAGCTCAAGAAACGTACAGGATCAGAAAGGAGGAGCTGGATGAGCTTGTTGCTGGGACAGAGGCCGTTGTCAATGGGTGGCACTGAAGGCACAGGGATATCTGATACCTAGGATGTAAACTAGTTCACTATTCTGATTCTCTTACTATTAGACAGTTCATAATTCATGGTAGTAAGAAGTATGTGTGGAACCTCTCCCTTCATATATACTCAGTATCAGACCCGAACTCAGGCAGATCCTGAATCCTACTCGGTGATGAACAGATTGTGCACTACGGTCACTCCCTCACTCTGAGGTTGCCAAAAGCGGACAGTGAAAAGGCCGGTTCAAAGGCGGTCTCCCGGGCTGCTTCACAGAACCAAACCTCCATCAACTCCTGCGAAAGAATCAGATAGTTCATCGTGCACGTCGTCCAAACCAGGTTCTTTGTCACAGAGACATCTCCAAACTGTTAAGATTTGGGTCTAAATCACCATGGGAGTTCGGGATTCTCAAGGGGAGGTCACTGGGACTCCTGACCCTGTCGAGAAGGGCTTTGCCACCCTCACCACCATCCGGTAAGTTGACATCTTGCTGTTGGATCTCGAGAAAATTTTTTTTTTTTTAGAGTCTCCTATATGACTTTTATCGGTCGCATAGACTAATCATGGCGATAGGATCGGTGTCAAGGCGATGGTACACAAGGTCAGTTCTTCCTCCATTGCTTCCAGCATCGTTCGATATGTTATCACGTGACATCATTGAACGGGAGTGAATGTGGTTGCTGATGTTTGCTTTGCTATAGGATGGCGAGTTGAGAAAAGCAGAAATTCTGTCGATCAGGCAGCGTAAAGATGGTCCTAGCTTCTAGTGCGTTCTCAACCCTGAGCTCTTCTGGTCGTACCGGGGTTCCTCATGCTGATGATATGTACAGTGTCCACTATGTCGATTTCAATAAACGTCTAGATGGTGAGTATCCTGCTGTCCTTATGCATCTCGAAGTGTACAATCTGATGTATCCAATTAGAATGGATTGACGCTTCTCGACTGGACCTATCTCATGAAGTTGAGTGGCCTCAGCCGGAGAAACCAGAGAAGAAGAAGACCGGTGCTGGTAACAAAGCGCCGAGCAAAAATGCGCAGAAGCGTGCGAGAGCCGATAGTCGTGATGTCTCTGCCACTCCAGATCTTCTCACAGGCAAGAATGTGAATGTTGGCAAGGCGCAACGTCCGTCCAAGGCAGGTGGCAAAGAGAACCGTGACGGAACTCCTCTCAATATGCCTATCGTCACTGCAGAGGCCATCTCAACGGACGGAACCCCTAAGGCGGAGTCTGATGATGTTGAAATGGTTGACGTCAGCTTCACGGACGGCAAAAGCTTCAAAGAAGAGGAGAGAGCGATGGGACTCATGTCGCGCGAAGAAGAGATCGAACGGCTGCGAACGAGTGGTAGTATGACACAGAACCCAACGGAAATCCATCGTGTTCGTAATTTGAATCGTCTTCAAATGGGCAAATACGACATTGAGCCCTGGTACTTCTCGCCTTATCCCGCTTCCTTCTCAGACGTTGATATCATCTATATCGACGAGTTCTGTCTGAGCTATTTCGACGACAAACGGGCCTTTGAGCGCCACCGTACAAAGTGCACGCTTGTCCATCCTCCTGGCAACGAGATATACCGCGATGACTACATCTCTTTTTTCGAAGTTGATGGCCGCCGTCAGCGGACGTGGTGTCGTAACCTTTGTCTGCTGAGCAAACTCTTCCTTGATCACAAAACCCTATACTACGATGTCGACCCTTTCCTCTTCTACTGTATGTGCACGAGAGACGAGACTGGCTGCCATCTTGTGGGCTACTTCTCCAAGGAGAAGGACTCCGCGGAAGGCTACAATTTGGCTTGTATCTTGACACTACCTCAGTACCAACGGCGTGGGTTCGGTCGGCTGCTTATCTCCTTCAGCTATGAGCTCAGCAAGCGCGAGGGAAAGCTCGGCTCTCCTGAAAAGCCGCTCAGTGACCTTGGTCTACTGGGTTACCGTCAATACTGGCGAGAAACGCTCGTCGAAATACTCATGGAACCTGGACGAGAAACAGTCAGTGAGAATGAGCTCGCTCTATTAACTTCGATGACTGAGAAAGACGTCCATGAGACCCTGGTCGTCCTGAACATGCTGCGGTACTATGTATGCGCCCCCACCCCATCCCACTTGAAGCTTGATATACCGTTAAAACAGTTAACTGACTACCTAGTAGAAAGGGAACTGGGTCATCGTTCTCACCGACTATGTGGTTGAACAGCACAGGAAGCGTCTCGAAAAAGAGAAGCTCAAGGGAGCTCGCAAGATCGATCCAGCACGCCTTCAGTGGAAACCTCCCGTGTTCACTGCTTCAAGCCGGACATGGAACTGGTGATGATCATGTTTGTCTCACGAAATCTTTCCTTTCTACTGTGTCTTTTCAGCAACGGTGTTTGGGTCTACTACGGTTGGGTGACGCTGGGCTGGAGTTCGGGTCCCATGGAGAAAAAGGTGTTCCCCTTCAAGCGATGTGTGTATTATCACTTCCAATGTCTAAGGTGACGGGCGTATGTCTGAATATCACATTTTGTCCATATTTGCAAAGCATCTAGAGTATACCGATTTTTGATTCTGTCCCCTGCCATCCTGGTTCGGTTAGCCAACAGACGTAGCTATACTTTATGGCGTCTGAGTGAACCTATACAACGTAAAGAGCTACTGCTTACTCTCAGTCTGTATATTCCTTTATGGGTCCTGGAAATGCTGCTGACCGAATCAATGAGCACAAAGCTACATAGCCGAACTTAAATACAGCACTGGTTGAGTGTTTGTTTCATCTTGCATTGATTCCGACACTGAAATAATACGAGGAGCTGTCTGATGCCTTTTCTGAATTACCAGGAAGACCTCGAAAAATAAGTGATAGAACAGCTGCACGGACAATGATACATATTAAGTAGCACGAAGATCGACTGATCGATTGAGAATCGAGGTTGAAGTGATGTCGGTGTATGAGGAAGAGAATGTTATATGTGACTGTTGTGTCTCTCACCATGAGACTGTTACTTCGAATCGAGTACTGATGAGGATAATGTACGATGCAAAGGACATTGAGAAGAGTACTAGAAGTTCAAGGCAAACGCAAACCCGTTCGATATCCCATATGCGTTGCTCACCAGATACCGAAGAAACCGCTGAATGAATATCCGAAACCCGAGAATTGCCACGGCAGAGCTAACAGACGTAATTTCGAAGAATAGAGGCGCATTCCTCCACATGAATAAGCTGGACCAGCTTAGTGAGATGCGCTAATTGTGCGCGGTGCCCACGCTGTATTCCGCGGTTGATGCCGGGGCGAAGAGGCGCTGCCGCCGTTCTGCTGAGTAGTGGCTGTCTTCTTGGTATTAGAGTTTCCAGGACCTTCCCGAGCTTTTGTATTCTTTCGTGGTTTGAAAGTCGAAGGCCCGCGCTGTCGAGGATTTTGGCTTCCTGCCTTCTTTGGAAGAGTCACGGTTTTCGCAGCGATAGCGCCGGGGAAGCGGATGGACACCCGAAAATTGCCAGATGAATCCCTGTCACCGAGGCCCAAAATAAAAGGCTCGATGCTGTGGATTTGCATCGGCTTGAGACTCTTGAACCGTAACCGGGATTGGGACGGTGCTGGAGCGGCATGCCAAGCTGCTGGAGGCGCAGCATTGGGAACTCGAACAACAGGCAAAGAACCTGCTTCGCGATCCTCGAAGATCTCCTCAGTCTCTTCGACTTGCTTGGCGCTGGCTATTCCGTCGCCAACTTGAGTCATATTCTCAGCAAGAAGGGGGAGAGATACAGACACTGCAGCAATATGAAGCTGGACATCGAGAGGTTCTTTCGATGCTGACGTGACTGCCAAAGCATTTTTCTTCTCATGTACAGTCTTCTTGCCGAAAAGACAGTTGATCTTCTCCTGCCAGGAGGTTGCAGCTGAGATGGGTTGAGCTTGAGCTGGGACGCGAGGAGGAGCGGCAACCATAGAAGCAAATGTAGGAGGTGGTGGCGGCGCAACGATTTTCGGCGGTAGTTTGACAATGGGTTTAGGGGCGGGAAGGTGGACCAAAGGTCGGGTAGAATCAGTCATATATACTGGATGACTCGACAGTTCCTCTGGTGGTGGTGGAGACGGGCTTCGGAAATGCTCATCTTCCTCAAAGGCCGGCCGTTTATATTGCTCCGTGGCCTGAGGGAAGAATCGAGAACTGCGAACTGGCACACTGTTCAGTGGACGAGCATGAGTATCAGCGAAGGGTAGAGTCGCGACAGGATGATCGAAACCAGGCAGATGGTTGGAGATCGAACTTGAAGTGTCGGTTGGCCTATGAATACCGACAACCTGCCTCTGTCCACTCTGGTCGCCAGTGCGGACCTGTCGCCATGTTTCATTGAATGTGGCATGCAAAGGCTGGCTATCCCGCATTGTGTTCATCTCGTTTAGGAGCTTCTCATTCTCTTCCGCTTCACGTTTAGCAGCAACCGCGTGAAAATTATTCCAAGCGGTAGTACCGGTAACACGCGGTTCCTGTTGCCAATGAGACTGGTGTACACTTGGAGGCCCTATTGGCCCTGGTCGGACAACCGGGGTCATAGAGTCGTACTGCGCATGTCGAACATCGGTAGAAGGCAAAGGAGAGATTGACGTAGGCTCTTGTTGGGGTCGAGAGGGGGCAGAAAACGGTTGTGGGCCAGAAGAGATTGCAGGTTGGTCGAGGCCGAGAGGACCACGAAGGGAGATGTCTCTCGACGGGAAGCCCCGAGGGCTTGATCAAATATGCCATTACCCAGGGTCTTATCGTTACTGAGAGGCTTCCAGGGATTGGCAATAGAAGAAGAGGCGGCTCCGAGTTTGGTATTCGAAGACCAAGGGGAATATGAGCTCGAAGTACTAAGATTACTCTTCCATTGGGAACTCGGCTCTTCAATTGTTGCTTCGGGCAATTTCTCAGGAAGACGGGACTGCCGAAAATCGCTAGTCTCCTGAGGTCCTGTGGTAGCCTCCAGTTTAGGATCGCGAGCTGGCGAAGCAGGACGTCGAGCATTGACCGCGGGAGCCGACCGTTCAGCAGCTCGTTCTTTTTCATTCGCGGCGACGAGCTTTTTGACGGCGTCGGGATGATGGACTTTCATCATCCCGTATTGCTTCGGTTCGCCAGTTGGCTCTGGTACCGGGGGTTTAGGAGGGGATTGTGCTGCTTGCGTGACGGTCAGGGACGCCTTGGCTTCCGCTTTATCACCTTCCAGAGACTCCTTGTTTTTGGATTTTGGTTTCTCGGGCGGTGGACCCAGTGCCTCCAGCTTCTGTCGAATTCTTTCACGTTTTGCAGCTTCCTCCTTCTCTTCTTGCTCTAACCTGCGCTGCCGAGCTTCAAGTCGCTTTTCCTTCATGATACGTTCCTGCATCGCGACGGGATCTTCCTGCGGCGCTTGCGCTGTAGCATCCTGAGCTTCTGGAGCCGGAGGCACAGATGACTGAGACGCAGCTCGAGGTGCGTTCGCGACACTGTCCGGCGGGCCCGCAGCTGCACGTGGAGGCCATGTTGGACCTGGTGGATGGCGGGCCGAGGAAGCCTCGTGCATAGATACGTCCTTCGGATGCACCGACTCTCTGTTCTGAAGGGACGGGTCTATGATTCCATTGACCTGCGAGCCTCTTCTTGCTTCAAACGTTCTCTGCGGCCCATCAGGGCGGCCGATCGACATCCGACGTCCAAAGCTCCCACTTCCTCCGCTGACGTTGGATGAAGTTCGCCGACGCGTCCAATGCCCGGCATCTTGGCCACTTGACCGATGAGTTTGGAATGCTGGAGAAGGCTCCGCAGGTCCTGCCTGCTCACCTGGTGTCGGCCGCTGTAAAAGAGAAGAAGGGCGGAAGCCTTGCTGCTCAGCTCGCCACGGCGCTTTCCTCTCTGGTACAGGCTCATAGCGACCCGATCTAGAGTTGTACAATTCACGAGTTGTTCCAGAGTGCGTGTCCTTCCACGATCGATTGAAGTCATCCGCCGCAATCTCCTTTGGGTGGACAATTCCGGTAGGCGGTTCGCTAACTTGGTGTTCTCTGACAGGAGCACGGCCGGGAGGTTGAACTTGAACAGGCGGCATCACTGGGGATGCCTTTTCAACAGGCGGCAGTGGGGCCCAAGGTGATTTAGATGGAGGAGCTGGGCTCGTGGACGACAAGGATGCCTTGTCGTTTGGTCCTTTCGACAAGATGGTTGCGCTCTTCGCCTGCCTTTCCGCATTTGCGCCAAGCCTGAGAACGGTAGGATTGGGTCCGATAGTCGTTGTGGGCTTCGTGACGATCTTGGTCACCTCTTTAATGGCAGGGGCTTGCTCTGGTGCAGGAGAATCGACCTTCGCTTCATTCGCCGTCTTGGTGTCTTGGCCGGGAGCGTGTACTGCCTCCGTATGAGTAGTAAGGCTCGTCTTGGTGCCATCAGTCCATTCGATCGTCTCAGGAGCCCAGTCGTCTTCGTCGTCATCGATATCGGCCCATTTCGCCTCGGTCCCACCACCATCTTCTTGGATGCGAGAGGTCATATGAATTCCGTATTGCTGCTTGAGTTCCTCATCTGTCAAGTGCTTGGGTGGCGTAGGTTGCACGGCTGTAAAACTCGGACGTTAGAGAGGGGTTGTTCTCCCAAGAAAGGACAAGCAGTGCCTTACGTCTATTCTTGTTCCAGACCTGATTTGGATCAGGTCCACCCGCACCAGCCTTGCCTGCACCTGTTCCTGACTTTGAGAGCGAGTCACGGAGGCCGCTGGTCGTCTTGGCCACCAAGCGCGGACGAGAGCTCTGCAATGGACCGCCCAACGGTGTAGTCAAAGACGAGGGGGCTACGTCAAGTTAGTAGACAAATTACTCGAACGAAGTTGAGGTTGTCTGTACCTTTATCAGACGGTTTAGCCGTAGCAAGCGCTCCCGGGGCTTTGGGCACGGAAAATTTGGCGAAAGAAACGGGTTTGAAAGTTGTCGGCTTCTTCGAGCCCACACGCTTACCGTCTGTTCGACTGGCATCTGACTCCGAGCCACCCTGGGAAGCCGTGTCTTCTCCGGCATCCGACACCGAGGCTACCCCGTTCATTTCGAGTGCTCGCGTGGCAACTGGCCCGGGCCCCTGCTTTGAGATATCCTTTTCCTATAACCCGTTCAGTAGCGCATTCACTTTCATATTCGTTCGTGTAGAGACTCACTGTTGATGGTCGTTCAGACTCGTTTTCTGTCTCATTCTTCGCGAGTGATGTGTCGGAAGAACTGGGCTCTGGTTGGCTTTGTGGATCGTTCGTTTCAGTCGTGGTCTGTGTTGTTGCGGTGGTATGTTGAGTCTCCCCCACGTCCCCTCCAGCAGAGATCTTGTCTTTGGTGCTCGCAGGAACGTCGGAAGGCGAAGGCTCGCCGCCCGACAGGGTCTGATTTACCACATCGTGGCTGCTCTGCTCTGCCATAACAATTCCCGAGTCTGTGAGATCCGCAGGTTGCGACATCTGTTAGACACTGGTCTTGTAACTGTGAATGCTGGGATAGTCGCCGCAGAAGCCATATAACTCATAGAAGGCACAGAGGAAACGTTAGGAGAAATACCTATTACCAGGTATCAAGAATCGCCACGTTTAGACTGATAGCTGAGTTGTTTGAGCTTGGGGGGGAAAAGCTCCAAACGACGAGACTAAGTGCGCGGTGGGAAGTGCACAAATCCAAGGGCTGGAAATAAAGCCCGAAAGGAACGGGCAGGCGAAATAGATGCGATATAATACTAAACGCCACTGCCCAAGAAATCCCAAATGGGAGGTCGCAATAAGAGTTGTCTTTCTCAGGTTTGATGACCGGGTGATGGCTGCAGTCATGGGTGACGGCTCATGTTGGAGGTGAGGTGGCTGTTTTGGGTTAGCGTGGGCCGAAAATGAAGTAAAGAGTCAAAATCTTGTGGCTGGAGCCGGAAGGATGAGATGTGTCACAGGCAAGCGGATCGTTCACTGTCGCTAAGATATTTAAAATTGAAAATGATCTTGCGTATTTGGTCTTCCGGTCCTCAAAATTTCACATATAAATGACTGGAGAAACAAAGGGTGGTGTTGGGATCGGCGACACTCCATATCCTACATCTACACCTCATCTACTACGCAACCGACCAATGCACCGCGACAGTCGCTGTGTACATAATCAACGGGAATTAGAAGAGAAAAAGCCGGCATCAAGGCCAGAGCAACTGGGCTGGAGGTATGCCTCTTCTACATTGCTTCGATCTAGGTTCGCTGGTATATACACAGATCCTCCGCAAGCCACACATAAGTGAAGCATTTAGTGAGGGTGGTTCTTGTGGTGGCCTGCAACTGTTAGCAACGCGAAGAATATTCATGGTCGAAAAGAAAACGTACGAAGGTGGAAGTAGTACTCCATGCTGTAGCCGATGAGAAGGATACCACCAATGGCGTGGGCAAGAGCTGGAGCGATTAAGATCAGTAATCGCCGTGTACAAACTCAAGTCGTCCGGAACTACTCACGGGCAGCAGAAGGGTTCTTGCCGAAGTAACGAGCCTGGTAGCGTCCAATGAGGCCAGTGGGCTTAACGTCGGGAGCGGAACCGCGAGGGAGTCTGGCGTAGAAGTTCACAACGCGCTCCATGCGAGCGGCATCCTTAGCGGCACCGATGGCCTTTGTAAAATGTCAGTCATTGCATGATAAGGAGAGCCGGTGTTTGTTTGCGATGGATGCTCAAGGTCGTGGTGAAAAGCCTTTACTGGAGAAGGAGGGTACTGAAGGACGTAAAGAGAATCGAGGGGACGCCATAAGGTGACTCACATTGGGAGAAGCAATCTAGAAAGCAATCAGCATGTCTTCACTGGAGTCGAACAAACGCAATCTCTGGGTATTTGATATTCTTCCTTACCTTGGGGGGGATCAAGGTCGAGAGACCTCGGCGGGCGATGTAGCTCATCTTGTCTGATTTTGAATCTGCGTTAATATTCCGGTGGCGCTTCTGAATGATAATAGGAATATGAACACCATGTAGCACTTCTACTTACCTAAGAACAGGCGAGTGAACCGTACAATCGATAAAGACGAAGTAGTGAGGATGTGCCTCTGAGATCGCGGGTTGTCGGATGAGCGGTTCCTAACGTAGGGAGCCTCAAGCGGCGCTAAACCGAATTTGGTTCTGCCGCAACCACCAGAACCTCGCCGCATACCTCACTCACGATATTGCTCTCCCGCTGTCGCCCGCGCACCCGAATCCAAGTTAGACAAATCCGCGACCATGTCCCTCCTCAGAGCAGGTGGCTCTGCCTGCCTTCGGGCAAGCAGAATTGCTGTGCCCATCAATGCGCGTTTCATCTCCACGCAAAACCGTTCTGGTGACCCCGGTGTCAAAACCAGCCCAGCAGACGCACCTTCCACACCCGTTTCAGACAGCTCCTTGGTTCGCAAGGAGACGCCATCTGAAGCAATGGCTCGTCATCAGCCCGATTATGATGCCACAATTGACCATGCCACCTCGTAAGGGAAGCCTGGCTGATACCCGAGAACTCCACTGATGGCAATCCAGACAATACTCCCCTGTGCCCAAGCGTGTCATGGACGGTAGCGAGCCTGGCGACACTGTGGCTGCCGCGGTTCTCTCCGGAGCTCCTACAGACCTTCAAGCTCGAACTGTTAGGTACAGATTTAGATTTTCCTCCGTCACCCGCCGCTTTCTGACCATACAACTAGGATTTACAAGCCTTCGAAGCCTGCAACGCAGTCCGGTACCTGGCACGGCCATCACTGGAGAATGGACTGGGACATTCTGCAGAGAGGTCACCGTTGGGAGAACCCTCTGATGGGTTGGCAGTCTTCCGCCGATTTTATGCAGGGTACTCACCTGAACTTCAAGTCCAAGGAAGATGCCATCTTGTTCGCGCAGAAGCAGGGATACGAGTACTTCGTTCAGGAACCCAACGAGCGCCGCTTCGTCCCTAAGGCATATGCAAACAACTTCGTTCACGAACCAAAGAAGCTTAAGCACATCAGAACCAAGTGATTGTGTTATTCGAGTGTACTATGTATATACTGCAAGGTTCTGGTCTTTGAAAGGTTGATTCCATAGGTTAAATGGATTTCAGTGCGTTCTCAGATGTCTTTCACGAAACGTGGCGTACTGCTAGAAGATACTGCTAGAACTGCATTTACGGATACGACGCTCTGCCGACAACTTGGCGAACCGTGCTCCTCGCTTTTCTTTTCAATCCTGAACTTCAACCTGCAATTCCCAATCTGAGAGTCTTCTGCGGAGGACACGTGTGAGGAATTGACAATCTCAATCCCTTCAGCAACAGCCCTTTCACTGAGGATGTCTTGAGCGACCTTCAAGCAGCTTTACTAAAGTCTGGCTTGTATGATGGTCTGGATGAGGCCTGCCAAGTCCGCGTGGAGAACTACGTGTATTGTATGATCATAGCATCGTTGATATCATAACAACTATGAGGGTCCAGATGGCTATGTTCCTAATGGAAAGCCTAGAAGAGAGTCTGGCTATTCACTTAAAAGAAGAAACTGCCATAAGCCAATATCGGCAGCATGTACCAAGGCTCCAAGCCGAGTTGAACAAACGTATGCTCAACCACTCCTATCCTAAAATCGAATGCACCAATATCGCCTTGGGCTCTGAACAAATAATCAATAGTGAAGTATTTGAGTCGCAATCATACGACTGTAACAGGATTCGCAGAATAGATGGACGGCGCTGTTAAGGATAGCGAGTTAGGCATAGTCGCTGCGGCCACCCCCGCCACCCCACCTAAAATTTATTATCTCGTTGAGATAAGATCTGAATTTTTAGATGCTCATGCTCTCTGAGTAAATGTTTGACACTCTAACCTTCTAAAATTCAATCAGTCTCAATTTCAACCTGTCATCTTTCTCCAATTGCCTTCAGAATACCACCATGTCCCCTTCCGCAACCGATACTCTGGAGGGCGTGGATCCCACCATCCTCACTCTGCGCAAGGTCCTCACATCCGAATCGGAGCCGCTCGCTCGCCGATTCCGTGCCTTGTTCTCCTTGAAGCACCTTGCGTGCCTGCAGCCGCCTACCGAGAAGACGCTGCCCGCGATTCAGGCTATTGCTGCTGCTTTTACTTCACCATCCGCCTTGCTGAAACATGAACTTGCATACTGCTTGGGCCAGACCCGGAATCCAGAGTCTGTGCCGTTCCTACAACAAGTCGCGAAGGACACGGAGCAAGATACGATGTGCCGTCATGAAGCCGCAGAGGCTCTGGGCGCTTTGGGCTACGAGGACAGCTTGGAGATCTTGAAGGCTCTTAGAGACGATCAGAATGAGCCCGACGTTATCAGAGAGACCTGCGATATCGCAGTGGACAGAATCCTGTGGGAAAATTCAGAGGCAAGAAAAGCTGAGAAATTAAAGACAAGGTATGAGGCATGCATCTGTATTGATTCACGTTTCTCTTTCTCTTTACAAATTGCTTATTGTATCATGTGTACCAATTCACAGTGATTTTACCTCGATCGACCCCGCTCCACCACTTCCAATGGCGGCCAGTGAACCTTCCATTCCTGAAATAGAGAAGACTCTACTCGACACAAGTCTACCATTGTTTCAGAGATACCGTGCGATGTTCGCCTTGCGCGACCTCGCTTCTCCTCCCGATCTTCCCACAGCGACTCGCGCTGTTGAGGCGCTGGCCAAGGGCCTCAAAGATCCGTCTGCACTTTTCCGCCATGAGATTGCGTTCGTCTTTGGTCAACTCTGCCACCCTGCGTCAATTCCAAGCCTCACTGAAGCGCTTAGCAACCAAAGCGAGGCCGGTATGGTGCGACACGAAGCGGCTGAGGCTCTAGGAAGCTTGGGCGACTGTGAGGGTGTCGAGGAGACGCTAAGGAAATTCTTGAACGACCCGGAGCAGGTGGTAAGAGACAGTGTCATTGTGGCTCTCGATATGGCGGAGTATGAAAAGAATGGCGAAGTGGAATATGCTTTGGTGCCTGATGCTGGCGTTGCTGCTGCATGAATGATCCGGTGTAGAAGGTATAGCTTTACAATATCGGTATTGCGCTTGATTCGTTGCTCCCATAGACGTACAATCATAATCTTGAATGAATACTTCTTCGATCTCCTAGTTGTTTGTGGTTTCCCTGCAGTCATACAAGTATCAGTACTGAGCCCGCAGATGCGATTTGAAGAATCAACGGTGGAGATTGCGTACTTGTAACCGCAAACACAGGTGTAGAACACTGTACTTCCTTCATCTGCACTGCGCAATTGCACAGTTGTGAAGTACATCTCCTTCCGCCCACATCTGGCACATGTATGTTGTGCCAGTGCTTCAGTTCGCTTATCTTCAGCTGTCAAGGTCTGAACTGCAGATCTCTTGGCTCTTAACGTCGACGGGAAGGCATTCGGTTTTGACTCAGAGATGATCGTATTGGGGACAGTATCTGAGGCAAAGTTAGCCCAGGTGCTCTGCTCGCCTCAAATCCTCACAAATGAGGCCAACAAACCCTTATTCCGAGCGCCGCAAATATCGCAGACAAGGACCTTAGTCGGATCGCCAGTCGACTCTGGTAGCAGATTTCCGCAGTCTGTGCAGAAAATTAAAGATCCAATGGCAGACATTGTGCAAGACAAGTTTTCAGTATCGGCAGATGTCCGAGATTGATCTTCGACCTGAGATTATGGAGGAGAAGTTAAGCAGGAGACAGGAACAGATGTTATCAATACAATCAGGATAGAAAACTCCGAACTTTTTTTTCCCGCTGAGATGCTGCCGCCCGGAAGACCTGCAGCACGGACCACCTGCTTATGTAGCCCCCAGTAACTAAGGACTACTGCCGGGCGGTCAACAGCGGCAACAAGAGAGTGTGCCTGGCAGTAATTATTATTGTTGGTTGCTTAAGTATTGCGTCGCTGTATCAAGAGCTTCTCAGGGAAGGATGACTGGAGTGAGAGTTGACTTTCTTCGCTGATAGTCATGTCTCTGAGCAGGACATGCCTTTCCTGTTTCTATCTCTCACCTCCACTTCCTAAGTCACTTATACATTAAAGTCAAATTGCCGCCATGGACCAAAACTGGAGCCCGGCTGTCCAGGTCGTCATCAATGGCCGTCCTCAGGCGCAGGGCCATGGCTCTGGAGGAGTTTCGCAACGCCGGACCAGGCCATTGTCTGTTGATGAAGCTCTGCAGTATTCACCTATGTCCAGCGCGCCAGTGTTTGGCTTAGGTATGCATCATGAATTTCTCACTTGAATGGTGAAGTCAAAACTCACTCATGATACTCTTTAGACTGCATACTGCGCCCCGACGTTGGCCGACCTCCCACTACCACCTCTATCAATCATATCCTTCAGTCGGGTCGAACGGTTTTGAATGAGCTAAATGCTGAGATACGATCCGGGAATGATGAGTCGAGTCGACTAGAGACATCTCGCGAATATCTACAGCAACTGCTTGACGGTGACCAGTTGACGGAATTGTAAGCACCATTGATCTATATCCACGATACGTACGTAGCAACTAATAATTTCCAGCAAGTTCAAACTTCCCCCTGGATCCGCCCAGGCCAAGAGTTCCCTGCCTAGCCCACCCTCAGAACAAGCTTCTGGTCGAAATGAGCTTGGCCCGTTTGCAAAAATGATGCTGGATGCTACGGACATAGCATTTAGATGTAAGTCTCAAACTCTTGCATTCAGAAACAACGTGCTCTTAAGCTGATCCGTCACAGATCCTACCTCGACGGAACTCAAGATCGAAAAGCCAATGAGGAAATCCCCAGCGTGGAACGAGCAAGCGCATCGAGCGAATAATGCTATCCCGGCGTCTTACAATCAGTCCCCTTACCCGGCAAGCCAGCTGTCTGTCGTTATCCCGGTCAAGTCCATACATACTCTGAACGAACATGGCGCTTCGAAGAAGAGAAAGCTCAATAACGAGGTGGAGGACCTTACTCTGATTCGGCTCAAGGATCAAAAAGAGGAGGCGGATGCTGCTTTGGTAAAGCTACAGGATCTGTTTCACGAAGTTTTCCAGGCGGAGGATCAAGTTGAAACAGAAACAACTGCTGGTGGATCGGCCGAACAACAAGATCCCGTTTTCTCGGTTGCTCACTCCCTTGACACAAATGGGCCTGTCCTCTCATCTGACGCTCATAGCCGTCTTCAGAAGGCTATGAAAAGGGTTGTTGGCTTCAACCGGCTTCAGGACATCCCATCGGAGTATTTGAGTAGATTACGGAAACTTTGTGAGAGGCCAATCATTGCCGCACAATCACCCGATCTCAGGCTGGACGATCCGTCAAATGATTCTGAAACCCAAGAGTGGCTCCAAAAAGTCGATGATATGCTCAATGCTCTGCTCGCAGTGGGTACACTGTTGCAGACAATGTCTGGTTCTCAGACGGAAAGGGATCTCTGTCCGGAGGATCTGATCGAGGCCATTCCGAATGTATTCAATCAGATTTTCGATTACTGCATCATTCCAGCAGTTGAGGCCCGTCCTGGAGGCAAAGAAGCCAGGTATTTTGAGTTCTTTTCTTCCCAGAAGCGTGTTATAGGGGGTGTTATCCAGCAAAGTAAAAAGATTATTGGCCTATTTGCCGACTTTTTGTCACGCATTGATGTCTCTGAAGGGACAATCACCGCGACTGAGTTTTTCGCTGCAAAACTAATTTTCGTGGAGAACGCGCATTCCGAGAAGGACTCTGCCGTCGGCTTCCAAAAGTATGAATCAGTTCGCCGCGGAGCAATGGATGTCCTGGCAAAGATTTTCTCCAGGTATCCTGCTCAGCGTCCTTTCATTCTTGATGAGATCCTTGTGTCTCTGGAAAAGCTCCCGTCTACGCGGCAGAGTGCCAGGCAATTCAGGCTCGCCGATGGCAAAAGTATTCAGCTTCTAACTGCTTTGGTCATGCAGCTTGTCCAGACCACTGCGCTTGACACTCCATCGTCCAAAACACGAAAAATGAAGCGTACCCTCTCGGCTGGCGATGATGACGAAGAGTCACATGAGAATGAGGAAAACTCGGAGGAAGATGACGACGAGGGTCAAACAGATGCATCTCTGGAGCGTCTCGCAACGAAAGTCAACCGTCTCTATGATAATGCGGTCCGCAGTGCGCAATACATCGTCAAGTTCATAGTTCAACGTGCAATGACATCTACCAAAACTGGCGACCAACCCTTTCGGAACATTCTTGATATCTTCACCGAGGATCTGATTGGTGTCCTAGGCTCAACAGATTGGCCGGCGGCTGAACTACTTCTTCGCATCATGGCGTCTCATATGGTTGGTATTGCAGATCTTGATAAGAGCCCTGCCACTGCGAAAAGTATGGCTCTGGAGCTTCTGGGCTGGATGGGATCCGCCATATCCGATCTAGTCGTGACTGCGCAGCACTTGCTTCCCTCGATGGAAGAGTCCGACAGTGATCTCAGTGTCTATTTGAGACAGTTGTTCGAGGACTATTCCAACCATGCCTTACATCCTCAAGATCTGGTCGTGCCAGAAGGTCCGTATCGAATAGCTCTCGAGTACTTTCTTCAGGCTCAGTCACCGGACAACTGGCAGCTCTCCAGTGCTCGCGGTTATTACTTGGCGCAATGGGCAAAGACCGTCTGTTCTGTCTACTATAATTCCGAAGACAAGGACGATGTTCCTGATGGTAAAGCTACTGAGAGTCTCATAGTTCTCTTGACGAAGTTGTTCTCCGAGCCGCTGTGGTTGGAAACTCATAGGTACGGACATTATCAATATCCATTTGCTGCAAAATGCTAACGCTGCTATTCCAGACACTTCGATAGGATATCAACCGCTCATGGGCGGTTCGCATACATTTTGACCGTTTTAAACTCGAGCTTTTGCAAGGCCTTTGATACAATCCTCAAAGTCCTCCTCAATTCGATTGCTAGTGATCAGGCAAAGGTTCGCAGTCGGAGTCTGAAAAGTGTGATCTACATGCTCGAAAAAGACCCAAGTCTTCTAGACAGAGACGCATCAGTCATGCGCGTTATCCTTCGATGCGCTACGGATGCCTCGCCGATGGTTCGCGACTCGGCGCTTTCGCTGATCGCCAAATGCATTGCTCTCAAACCGAAGTTGGAAGAGGATGGGTGCAGGAGCATCCTGACCTGCGCAGCCGATCCTACAGCTGGTGTGAGGAAGCGCTGCATTGGGCTGCTAAAAGATATTTATCTCAAGACGTCCCGCACCGAATTGAAGCTGGCTATAGTGGATAGCTTTCTCCAACGGACAACGGATACAGAAGAAAGCGTAGCCACTTTGGCGCGGCAGACTTTCGAGGAGATCTGGCTTACTCCGTTTCATGAGCTTATCGATTCATCACAGGATGGCTCAAAGCTCAAGGTTGGTCTAGGAGAGCAGGTGACGTTGATCGTAAGCTTGGTGCAGCGCAGCGAGACCGCTCTCGAAACATTAGGGTTTTGTTTGAGAAAGATTCTATCGGACAATTCCAAGACGGCTTCGTTGAACTTCAAGGTTTGCAAAGCGATGGTTGCAACGATGTTCGAAAAGTTAGTTGAGGCTGAGGGCTCGGAGAAGGAGTTTCAGCAGGCTCTCCTGCAAACGATCACAGTATTTGCCAAGGCAAATGCGAAGCTATTCAGCCCTGACCAACTGGAGACTCTTCACCCTTACATCGGCAATCTCGCCACTGCGGAGGATTTGTTCATTTTCAGATCCGTCGTGGTAATCTATCGCTGTGTCCTGCCGTACCTTTCGTCCGCTCACAACAGTCTTCTAAAAGAAGTGCAAAATGATCTTTTCAAAAGCGTGGCGAAACTTGCTCGGTCAGAGCTCAACGAGGTCATGGCCTGTTTGTGGACCATTAACGGTGTTTTGCGCAACACTGACAGACTCGTGAAACTGACCATATCGGTTCTGAAACCGATTCAACATTACCGAAACGTCGATCTTGCAGATAATGCTAATTCGGCTATTGTGGCCAGAGCTAAGAGCTATATTCGAATTGCCGGCTGCGTCGGGCGGCATTGTGATCTAGAGAAGTACGAACCTCATTTCAAGAACGCCTTTCCTTCTTGGAAAGGCGGATCCGTGGCTGGCTTGATGGTGGACTCTATTGTCCCTTTTACTCTCCCGAAACAGCCTCTGGAACTCAGGGTTATGGCGCTCGAGAGCGTGGGCTCGATATGCCAGTCCTGGCCAGCACAGTTCAGCCGGGATGAGCCGAGAAAGATCATTTCCATGGTCTTCAAAGAAGACAATGCAAGCCTCCAGAACATCGTCCTGAAATCCTTTGCGGAGTTTTTCGCCATGCACGAGGGCAAAGCAGAGAAATCAGTCGTGCCGTCTGCTGAAAAAGCGGACCAGGAGGACTCTACTAGACTTGGTGGCTCATTGAAAGCAAGTGACAACGATGGGGCCGCCGCTCTGATAGCTCAACACTTCCTACAGAGCATGCTTCGAGTCGCGCAATCTCGGCAGGACGCATACGCTCTCACTGCCATTGAATTAATTGCTAGCATTAACCGTCAAGGGCTGGTTCATCCCAAAGAATGCGCAGGCGTGTTGGTTTCACTGGAGACATCAACCGTGCCAGCCATTGCCAAGGTTGCGTTTGACACACACAAGATGCTGCATCAACAGTATGAATCAATGTTTGAAAGAGAATATATGAGGGCCGTTCAGGAGGCTTTCTATTACCAGCGCGATGTGGTCGGTGATTCTAGCGGCGCTTTGGCCCGACCTTACGTCGCAAAATTGGCCCCGCTTTTTGATATTATCAAGACCAGTAACAGTCGATATCAGAAGAAATTCCTGTCCAACCTGTGTTCGAAGGTAGACTTCGAATTGAAGAAGCTCGACAGCACTGGGGACCCGCCAGAGCATCTTCTACTTGCGCGATTTGTGGCTCAAAATCTGGCATTCTTCGATTATGGCCAGCTTGCTGAGCTGGTCTCAGCAGTTGGATGCATGGAGCGCATTGTTTCCGCGACAGGAACAGTCGTAGCCCATTCAATTGAAACAGAGATTTTTCCGCCTAGGATGGAGGCACCACTGGGAGAACTGTCATCCGAACCTGTGCCACAAGGGCCAGGCAACGCAGAGCCTCTAACCCAGGTCAATCCGTCCGTGTTACGGCAACTAGCTACAGCAGCCGCATCCCTCTCAATGCTTTGGGAGGCTCGAACATACCTTCGCCGTCTGTATGGGATACACGCCCATGTACGAGACAAGGAAGGCAAAGCTGCGGCCAAGGAGCTGAACAAGTCCGCCACCAAAGTGCAGGGAGTGACCGGCGACAAGTTCTGGGACGCCATTTCTCGGAACATGGAAGCACTGAATAGCGAAGAGCAAATGGTCAGCAAATGCCGAGAATTTGCCACTTTGCTTGCGATTGACGATGAATTCAAGGTCGGTGAGGACGAGGATGCTGAAGGCGACAGCTTCGACGCTGTCGCTGACCTTGACGACACGGGAGCTGGTCCAGGGTCCATTGGTGGGCAGCGACCTGGCAAACGGAAGAATTCTGTTTCTTCTCAAAATCCCGCAAAGCGACCCCGGGGAAGAAAGAGCGGCTCGGCCAAGAAAAGAGCCAGCATGGAACCAGACGATGACATGGATTGGGGCTAAGGTCTTCAGTAGTCAGTTGGCCCAGACACGGTCAACGCTTGCATTTTTGGCTGTGTATCACATAGACGTTCGCATACGGGACGGCAAACGGCGTTCGGTGGGCTTTCAACTGCTTTTCTATCTTATGAGATATCTCTTTATCTAGCTATTCTGTTATATTAGAATGACGGCTGGGAGGAGATTTGCTTGATGACCAATTCTTATCCTTATGGCTGGCTCCTTGTGTTCTCTATTCGTTTTGGCTGCCTGCACGGTAAGGCCAATGTTTACTGTATCCATTTCGCTGGGCCAGGCACTAGGACGATTCGTTGAACATTCTTTATCAGGTAGCTGCAATATACCGCAACCGAATTATCTTTGATTCCGCAAGTGACGATACTTTATCTGTTCTATCCAAGTTCTCTAGCAGCCTTAGCGATGCCAAGTTGTTGCCGAGATACCCACCGCTATATTTATATGTGGCCCCAGAAGGCTTAGTGCCGATTGTTGTTAGCGTGGCATGACGTAGCCGGGTCGCTCCCATTCCTTTTACTATTGGAAAGACTTTCTTCGCGGTCAACTTTCCATCGACCAGTCTTTCTTTTCTGTATTCAATTCTTCAGTTCTCTCTCTCGCTATTTCGTACCGTCCTATTACGGGTACAATCATTTAGCCAGCATCAACAGAATCCGACACTCCCGAATAGAATCATCTAGCCGCACACCTCATTCCTATACGCCATGAGCACGGCGCTACTCCGAAGCCGCCCAAATACTGCGGCGCTCAGGAGGATCTGTCTTGTATCACATGGAGGTCAATTTCCGAAACCTCGCTCCTCAATTGGCATTGCTGCATCTCGTGCTTTACATACGACCCGGCGGCGACCAGTGACCCAACAGCGTATCTCAAATATCCTGCGCAGTGCGTCGTTATCAGTCCGATATGAGTCAACAGGAAAGGACCCAATGGCTAAAGCTGCCCGCAAATCCCCCGCCCTCAACATACTCGTAAAGAGCTTCACGTACTGTGGATTTTTCATTGTCATGACCGGCGTTGCAGTAGTCGCGTTCTTCATCTACGATGCGACCACGTACCGAGAAGATCCTAGCTCAGAAGACATTCCTGTGTCTGAATTGGCACTTAACCCTCGACGCGGGGGACCGAAGAACCTGCCTATAGCGGAGGTCCTGGTGGGAGACAATGACTCGGAGGCGATGGTGCAGCAGAACGACAAGCCACGTTTGGTCATTCTGGGAACGGGCTGGGGCAGTATCGCGCTTCTCAAAAATCTTAATCCTGGCGATTATCACGTCACGGTTGTATCGCCGACGAACTATTTCCTTTTCACGCCTATGTTGCCCTCCGCCACCGTTGGGACTCTAGGGCTGCGCTCGCTTGTTGAGCCAGTCCGGCGGATCATCCAACGGGTTCATGGTCATTTCTTGAAGGCCGAGGCCGAAGATGTGGATTTCTCGGAGAAGCTGGTTGAGGTGTCTCAAGTTGATGCCAATGGCAAAAAGCAGAACTTTTACCTTCCGTACGACAAGCTGGTGATCGCTGTTGGTGAGTGCAGGCCATGAGTCTCTTTGGCGTTGCCGGTACTAAATCTGGTCTACAAAAGGATGCGTCACAAACCCCCACGGTGTCAAAGGACTCGAGCATTGTAATTTCCTGAAGACGATCGACGATGCTCGTAAAATCAAGAACAAGGTCCTCGAGAACATGGAGTTGGCTTGTTTACCGACTACCAGTGACGAGGAACGTCGGCGTCTGTTGTCGTTCGTTGTCTGTGGCGGTGGCCCGACAGGCGTTGAGTTCGCGGCCGAATTGTTCGACCTGCTGAACGAGGACCTACTTCGCTCGTTCCCCAAAATTCTGAGAAATGAGATCTCCGTTCACATCATTCAGAGTCGGAGTCATATCCTGAACACTTACGATGAGGCTGTGTCCAAGTATGCCGAAGTACGCATTTCACCCAGTTCACTGATATAAGAGGATTGATGAGACTGATGCATACAGGCCCGTTTCAACCGTGATCATGTTGAAGTCCTGACAAATGCTCGAGTAAAGGAGGTTCGCGACGACAGAGTTTTGTTCACTCAAGTCGAGAATGGCCAGCCGGTGGTGAAGGAGATCCCGATGGGTTTCTGCTTGTGGTCGACCGGAGTTGGTATGTGATTTTTATCCTGGTGTGCGACATACTAGGAACTGACCATTGCACAGCTCGCGCTGAACTCTGCAAGAGACTCTCAGACAAGCTCGAGGCTCAGAACAACAAGCACGCTTTGGAAACCGACACTCACCTGCGTCTAATCGGAGCTCCTCTGGGTGACGTGTATGCCATCGGTGACTGTTCGACCGTCCAGAACAAGGTGGCCGAGAATATCATTTCTTTCCTGCGTACTATCGCCTGGGAGAAGGGCCAGGATCCCGAGAAAATCCACCTCACATTCCGGGAATGGAAAGACGTAGCCAACCGAGTCAGGAAGCGCTTCCCCCAGGCAGCCAACCACCTCCGCCGGCTAGACAAGCTCTTTGAACAGTATGACAAGGACCACTCCGGTACCCTCGACTTCGGCGAACTGCACGAACTCCTCCACCAGATCGACACCAAGCTCACCTCCCTGCCCGCTACCGCCCAGCGCGCCAACCAACAAGGCGAATACCTGGGCCGCAAACTCACCAAGGTCGCAGCCGCGCTCCCCGGCATGCGAGCCAACGAGATTGAACACGGTGACGTCGACGACATCGTCTACAAACCCTTCAAGTATAAGCATCTCGGCAGCCTGGCGTACATCAGCAACGCGGCCGTCTTCGACTTCGGCGGTCTCAATTTCAGCGGTGGCGTTCTGGCCATGTACCTCTGGCGAAGCGTCTACTTCGCGGAGAGCGTCAGCTTCCGCACGCGGTGCATGCTGGCCATGGACTGGGCCAAGAGAGCACTCTTCGGAAGAGGTCCGTTCCCTTCGCATCTACTCTTCTTTCTCGTGATTCCATAACTAACCTTTTGTGTCTCAATAGATCTCATGAGCTTCTAACTGGATCTTCTGGATATAGACAGCCTAGCAATCCACAGATAAAGGACATACCACCCTATCCGTTCATTCTCGTGGTTGCTGTTAGATCGATAAAAAAGATCGAATACCCAATTTCTTCATATTCGTTTTTTGTCCGTATTATGCTATTTAACTAGGGCTCGCTCTTGTTTGAATCAATGTTGGTTGAAGACGTGTAGCTACTTGTTTTGGGATTAGTGGTACAACTTGTGCTTAAGCGGTGTTCTTAGAATATATGTCCACGACAGAATCCGTTCTACCAATGCTGATGAATTGTGTTTGATAGTTATTCTTCTGACTATTACAGATGATGCGGTCAATTTAATTGATTAGTGTCTACCCACGAGAGTTAGGATGCTTGCTACTTAATTGAAGCCTTGGTCTTTGTGTCCTCATCACTGGGTGCTGTAAGCGGATCAGAGTAGTGAGTTGAACAGTGCACGGGCTGTTATACCATGACCAAGCCAATTTCATACGGGAAATAGAAGAACAGAGCAAGGTGGTTGATTGGATATGTTTACGACAAATCAATGTTTGATTCTTCAATTGTATTCAATTGCCTCGCTTATGAGGAAAGTACTATGGTTGAGCGCTCAGCGTCCACAGATGAAAAAGTCAAGCCCGAACTCCTCGCTAAACTGGAAAAGCGGCAAAGGGCATCAAGCAAAGTAATGCAAGACCGCTGATCATGAAATCATCGGGTCAACATCTCCGTTGTTGGTCATTACAGTATCATTCGAAGCACCATTCTGACTGGCGTTCTGAGCGTTCTTTACGTTGTTGCCATCATAGAGTCCGAGGTCGAGCTTCTCAGGAAGATCCTTCTTGGCTTCTCGGGCCTTCTGCTCCGCCCAGGCGCGTAATTTCACCAAATTGCGTAACCGAGCTTCTTTACGGGCACCCTGGCTTTGCAGGATGGCTTCATTTACCCTGGTAGCAATATCTTTACGTAGGTCAGGATGCAACAATGGCGCAAGGGATGGCGCCAGGTTCTCAGTAGGGAAGATCAAAAGAGCAAGGGTGCGCTCAAGGTCCTCGAGAAACTGAGGGTTGGTGGGTGCCCGCGGAGCGAGCTGTGAGGTCGCAAACTCGAGGGCAGGACTGATGTCACCATTGGGTGTTGACATGCACGTGCGTATCAATTCCACAAGCTGCAAGCGAAGCAATGCGAAATGCAGAGATGGATTTTCATCCAAAATCTATACAGACGAAGTCAGCATGGCATATTCACCGAATGTATGACGATGTTGACATGGCAGTTGAACAGTTTGCTAATCATACTGAGGACTGAAGATGTTTGTTTTTCATCAAAACCCATAAGGGGATTTATGAGTGGTGCATGTAAACCGATATAATCCTAGCAAGGGATAGGCGGTGGGGCAGGAGGTTTAGGAAGAAAAATCTGCATACCTGTGGGTTGAGATCATTGATCTTCTCGATTGCAGCTTGAATGTTGCCAGAATGAATCGCAGTGCGAATCTCTACTCTTTCCTGGATGGACTCAATGTCCGCCCTGGGTTGTATGTTGGCCTCAACCGCAAATTTCTTTGCAGCAGCTGGGTAGCCATTGGTAATGAGGTAATCCATCACTAGATAGTTGATATCACTGAACTGATTGTCAGCAATTGCAGGAGACTCAACAGACGTCAAGAGCAAAGTAAAGTGAAGAACGATTCAGAAACACAAGTTAACATATTCTCCTCAAGATGTTTCAGAGAGATTCCCAACTTGATTTCAAGATCATCATAAAAGGTGTTCAGAAAAATAAAGAGCAATAAAATAGGCAACTCACGTTTTGGAGGGCTTGACCTCATCGACCTTCCGCTCGAACTGATGCCATGTTGGCGTTGTTGTCGAGGAAGTGGGAGACATCTGCATCCCGTTAAAATCAAGCTACTACGCGCGCACAACCCGCGGGAGAGCATACGTAATTAGCTGAAGACATTGTGGGATATTGTGGCGTGGACCTTGATGCAGGTATCAAGTGCCTTGGAACTGCTCCGGCTGTCTGTGAAGATGGGAAACCTCGCAGACGGAAGCCATGGAGAGAGAGATTCTCTGAGGGGGAAAAGAGAAGTGAAGAGGAAGAAGAAAAGAAGAGGAAAAAGCCAGCAAGAAAAGCGGCAGGATTTTGGGTCACGCTTAGAGCTCCAGGACTAAGACTAAACCGTAAGCGAAAAGTCACGGGTCAGGCTAAGCCAAGTCGGTCTAAGCGCCATCACTAGAGAAGCTTTTGAGGGTTCCCTGCCTGATTATTATTATCTGCAGTTCTTATCGGCCCAGGAGCTTTTTCAGCACTGGCGATTCCTGACCTGGCCCTCATATATTTTCCTTTTCTTCTGGATGATATGTGTGGAAGGTCAGGAATCTGTCGCTCATTCTAATTATTCTAGCCAGGGAGCTTTTACTTGGAGAAGTAGCAACATGGAGTCTGTCTCTCCACTTTACTCGTCGGTCACGGAGAAGAGATACTACTCTCCACCATGGGCGGATTTGAGTATTATTGGGATTGCAGGCAGTTCGGGCTCTGGCAAGACGTCCGTGGCCATGGAGATTGTTAAATCCTTGAATCTGCCATGGGTTGTGATTCTTGTTATGGTACTAAGGACCCATTCGAACATCACTTCCATAGATATAGCCATTTTCGTGCATCCTCGTGACTTCTAACCCTTTCTGGTACAGGACTCGTTCTATAAGAGTTTGACTCCAGAACAACATGTCAAAGCGCATGCAAATGAATTCGATTTCGACTGTCCGGATGCAATCGACTTCGATGCATTAGTACAGACGTTAAGGGATCTCAAGCAAGGGTAATTCCTCTCCTTGCTCCTTTGTAATCTACCAAGCTCTGCGGAAATTTTGCACGCAGCTAACAGCAAATGCGTCAACCAAATGAAGAAAGAAAGCAAACATACCTGTCTACTCTTTTGCTGAACATCAGCGCCAACCTCAGACAACCACTCTTTACTCGCCGCATGTCTTGATCTTGGAGGGAATTCTGGCGCTCCATGATCCGAGAATCATGGAGATGTTGGACGTCAAGGTAATTCTATTTTCCCCCACGTACTACCTCAAGATACTTATCAGACCCTTTCAGATTTTTGTCGAGGCAGATATGGATGTTTGCCTTGGACGCAGAAGTGAGTGAAAAATCATGCCCGATGTGATTAACTGTCCTAACCGAGGCGGCGCCAGTATTGCGTGATGTCCGGGAGAGAGGCAGAGACATTGACGGTATCATTAAACAATGGTTCCAATTCGTCAAGCCATCGTATAAGCAATACGTCGAGCCTCAACGGTCGGTTTCGGGTGAGCTAGCACCAAGTTCCCTCCCGCTCTGCTTGTCTGACGGAAGTAGATATTATCATCCCCCGCGGAATTGAGAACAAAACGGCCATCGGTAAGCGAATATGCTGAACTTCGGTTTGCACGCCTTTGCTCAATAGTTCCCAGATATGGTTGTGAAACATATCCAGCGCAAACTTCAGGAGAAATCCGAAAAACACAGCGCAGAGTTACAGAAGCTGGAGATGATCGCTTCAGAAGAACAATTGTCTGCAAATGTGTTCCTCATGCCTCAGACCCCGCAATTCGTCAGCATGAACACAATATTACAGGACCCTGCGACAGAACAGGTCGATTTTGTCTTCTATTTTGACCGGCTCGCTTGTCTACTAATAGAGAAGTGCGTCGACCCTTATGTGCCAGCGTCTGAAAAGTTCAAGTTCGTGACTGACCATAACATCGGGTAATAGGGCCTTGGACTGCAGTCGGTATCACCCGGCCAAAGTCGAGACCCCTCAAGGGGATAATTATAACGGATTACATCCGGAAGGTCTAGTGTCTGCTGTAGCAATTTTGCGAGGTGGTTCTTGTCTTGAGACAGCTCTCAAGCGAACCATTCCTGATTGTATTACTGGTCGACTGCTCATTCAGACGAACGAGCGGAACGAGGAGCCAGAGCTGCATTACTTGAAACTGCCGTCAGGCATTGAAGAGCACGCAACAGTCATGCTCCTTGATCCTCAAATGGCTAGTGGAGGAGCTGCCCTGATGGCGGTTCGGGTCTTAGTCGATCACGGAGTCGCGGAAAACAGAATTGTCTTTGTGACCTGCGCCGCTGGAAAGGTTGGGCTTAAGCGGCTCAGCACCGTTTACCCTGAGGTCAGGGTCATTGTAGGGAGGATCGAGGAGGAGCGAGAGCCTCGATGGTTGGAAAAGAGATATTTCGGATGTTAGACTCTTGACGGAACCGTGTTGCATCAGAGGGTTGTACATTGAAAGTGTCGGTTCCGGGAAGGATTGCATTTACTTTGGTCTATCGTGTCAGGCGATAACCAATCGAGTAATGTACATACCCATTTTACGCAATATATGAAGTATGATTGGTAATTAAGGTACGGAAGCATAAAGCATGAGCCCTTTGTATGTACTGTACCTAGAAAGATCCCGCTGTAGGAACGCACGGACCAACACAGAAACCGGCGCAGATTCTTTGGTTCCACCGCCAAAAGAAAATTATCCTTATCAACCAGATCTCATAGAAAAGGCGTCCCGAAAGGTGCTGAGAGTCCAAAAGACATACCCGACTCTGACATTCGCACGGTCGCATTCTCACTAGAGACAATTGTTTTAAATCAATATCCGTGGAACTTCCACGATGCCCGACTCAAAGAAATCGAAAAAGAGCGGCAAGGCCGACAAGCAGGCCGGCCCCGTTATCAGTATGATCAACTTCTTTCTCGCTCATGATCGCCAGCCTGCGTGATAAATGCTAACTCTTGACTGCTTCCTTCTAGCCGATCCCAGATTCGCTAATATCCAGATCGATCCACGATATCGCCTTCCCAGCAAACGCCAGACCCATGTGAAGCTCGACAAGCGTTTTGCGCACATGCTGCGCGACAAGGATTTCTCCCGGAATGCCGCGGTTGATCGCTATGGACGCAAGCTCGCACGCGATGACACGAAGAAGCAGTTGGAGAGATTTTACCAGTTGGAAGGGGGCGAGGAGGAAGATGAAGATGAGGATGAGGAAGAGGAGGGAGATGGAATGGTCGCTGACGACGATGACGAGGTTCGCAAGGAGTTGAAGCGGATAGATAAGGCGTATGACCCTGCTCGGGACGGAGGATTCTCATCTTCGTCTTCGGAAGAGGAGAGCTCGAGTGATGAGGAAAGTGAAGAAGAGGACGAGGAGGAGCAGAGTATTGAGGAGCTGGAGTTCCCCGATAAGCAGCAGGTGGATGTGCCGACGGGAGAAGTCACGAATCGCGTTGCAGTGGTCAACCTTGACTGGGACAATATCCGGGCGGAGGACCTGATGGCTGTGTTTTCCAGCTTTGTTCCGACCGGCGGCCGGGTGTTGAAGGTCTCTGTGTACCCGAGCGAGTTTGGCAAGGAGCGCATGGAGAGGGAGGAAACGGAGGGTCCTCCTCGGGAGATTTTCGCGACGAACAAGCGACAGGAGGACGACGATGAGGAAAACGAAGAGGATCTTGATTCGGAAGAAGAGGAGGAGAAGATCAAGCAGTCGATGTTGAAGGAAGATCAGGGCGAGGAATTCAACTCTACTCAGCTACGAAAGTATCAACTGGAACGACTGCGGTACTTCTACGCGATCCTGACATTCTCGAGCAAGGATGTTGCGAAACATGTCTATGACTCCGTGGATGGAGCAGAGTATCTATCTAGTGCCAACTTCTTTGACCTCCGATTCGTACCGGACGACACGGATTTCTCCGACGACAAGCCGCGCGACGAATGTGAACGGATCCCGGACGGATACCAGCCGAATGAGTTCGTGACTGATGCGCTGCAGCACAGCAAGGTCAAGCTTACATGGGACGCGGAAGACAAGTCGCGCAAGGAAGCTCAAGCCCGAGCATTCAGAGGCAGTCGCAAGGATATTGATGAGAACGATCTGAAGGCCTACCTTGCCAGTGACAGTTCCGGTGACGAGGCAGAAGAAGAGGCGGTGGAAGTTGTCGATACTACAAAGGGAGACGGGTCTAGTACAAAGATCTCCAAGAAAGAGGAAGAGCGCCAGCGCATGCGGGCTCTTCTGGGCTTAAGTACAGAGCCTGTCAAGTCGTCCAGATTATCTGGTCCTGTCGGCGAAATGGAGGTCACTTTCACCTCGGGCTTGGCTGGGGAGCCCAAGCGCGACACCATCTTCGAGAACGAGCCCGAGAAAGAGGAGACTACGCTTGAGAAGTATGTACGGAAAGAGCGTGAGCGCAAGAAGCGGAGAAAGGAGAAGCTTAAGGCTCTGAAGCGCGGGGAAACTGAAGGGGAGGCGACGGCCGATGCCAGCGAGGACGACGCAGCGTCTGCAGGCGAGGGACAAGCTTCGCAGGAAGACTTGGGCTTCAACGATCCCTTCTTTGACGATCCGGATGGCAAGGCCACTGCTGCCGCTCGTCGTAAGGAGGAGAAGCGTAAGAAGCGCGCTGAACGCGAGGCCGAGGAGGCAGCGAATGCGGCTAAGCGGGCCGAACTGGAGCTCCTGATGCTGGACGACAAGAAATCAGAAATCAAACACTTTGATATGAATGAGATCGAGAAGGCACAGAAACAAGCCCGCAAGAAGAACAAGAAGAAGGCAAAGGAGCAGGCTCAAACAGTCAATGACGATTTCCAGATGGACGTCAGCGATCCTCGTTTTGCAAGGCTGTTCGAGAGTCACGAATATGCCATCGATCCTACCAACCCGAAATTCAAGCCGACATCGGGTATGAAAGCACTGCTGGATGAAGGACGCAAGCGACGAAGGGATGGGGATGACCGAGGGGACGAGGAAGCAGACACCACCTCGCGTGATAGGAAGAAGAAGAAGCAGAAGCAGAGCGCTGCAGGCAAAGCTGGCTCGGATGACTTGAAGAAGTTGGTGGACAAAGTGAAGCGGAAGACGCAACAGACATGAGTCTGACTGTACTCACCTTGGTTTGATTTCTCTAGCGGACAAGACAAAAGCATAGTGGGATTCAGGATAGTCAGGATATATACCACGGTATTGTACATCATCTTTGCAGGTGTAATAAAAGCATTCTCCGTCTTTGAATTGACATCGTACATCCTCTTTCCCCCTAGATACCTTTTCTACATCGGCAACCATTCCCCGGGAAACACTTCCAGTAATATTTGATGTCCTGCGCATTCTCAGCTGCCTGTAATCTCCTATAGCCCCATTCGCTGCTGAATGACTCGAAGAAGTAACCTGGCCCATGCAGGATGAGGTGTTCGTCCTACCCCGCCTGCAGCATCATTACTAGATATGTATGTCTATGTCCACCCTGGTATATGTGACAGAAGGGAAGTATGCAAGCTGCCAATGAGATGCATGCGATCGGCATCAGAATGAGATGAGGCTGAGATCATGTGTGAATAATACGGAGAATCTCACTCCTTCACTTGTTCTGTGTGGTGGTGACGGATTTCATTGCTCACCGCCCTTTCGTCCATCTCTCCTGCTCCCGCCTCTCTCACACAACCTATCTACTCTCCCCGCCCCCCCGTCTTTGCTTCTCCGGACTCAATTCATCATCTTTCCCCTTTTGTTGATGCTTTATCTTTCTTGGTGATGACATTGTTCATTTCTCATACCTAGCCGGTTCTGGTGTGTGCACGATTTCTCGATTGCCAGAAGTGAACATTCCCCCGCAGGACGATAAACTGTTCAGGTGGTGTCTTTCCTTTCTGGTCGATTCTGAAGGAACACAATTGCCCCTCGGTCAACCTGGGTTGATCATGGTTTTTCATCGGTAGGGTTGGATATTGGGAAACGGCAGCTCAGTCTAGGTTATCGGTCTGGCTGTTGGTTACCTGTTATATTCAATCTCACGTCAACAATTCCGTGGTTTGTTCTGTGCTGTGTGTGTCGTGAACTGAACATCAGGGCCTGGCGTTGTACTGCCATTTCTTCACTAGCTGTTGCATACCTGATCACTCGTCACTAGTTGAATCATCATGTTGGGCCGTCTGTTGAGCAGTGCGGCGTCAACATTGAACCCAGCCGCGTACTCGAATAGAAACGCTACCCAGCTGGAATCCGTGACGGAAGAAGAACACACATCTGGCCTCCTTTTCCCCGATGCGAGCCTGCTACGCCGGTCAAATACCCATGCCTACCCGTTACATAGCACATTCAATTCACCGAATGCGTATGCTGCCGGTGCCTACGATGATCGAGGTGGCGTGGAACTAGACCCCGTCAAGGACTTCCGGGTGATAATCGCACAGAACGCGCTTGGAGACAGGGATGCGTGTGTATTGTTAGATACTCGCATGAACTCGTCTGACGCGACGTCAAGCCCTCTCGATTCAGAACCGTACGTGCTCGACAATTCTGGTACGAGACATGTTCGCACACTTTCCAGTCTCTCGCGGGCTCCTCGGCGCGGATACCTCCCTCCTTCGTCGGCCGCCGATCCGAGCCCATTTTCTGTCGCCGCAGAAGCCCGCAGATCGCCGCCCATGGGTTCCGGGGCTTTTGTCCGCGCTCGCGGCCGCAGCTCAACGTTGTCGCCAGCAGGTGGGATGAATGAAGCAGGTCGCTCACGTCATCCGCCCGAGAACAATGACTCTGGTCTGTTGAACTGCATATTTGGCAGCAGTGCGTTTAGCTATCGGGGCTCTTCAACCAAGATGCATATCATTTCTGCAGATGAGGATTCGGGTAGAACTCCAAGTGAATCGCCAGCAACCCGCAACTCGCTCTCACGGGCATATACTACGGGAAGTTCCTCTGGTTTCATGGGTACATCTCGGGCACTGAACCCAAGCCGCCATCCAAAGTCACCATTCTACTGACGCGGATGTTCAGTGTCAACTTGCCGGAGGCAGGTGACGCGTTGTCTGATCGGCCCGACTATCCGACTTCGATTTACCAAGAGTCGCTGCCGGAAAATGGGTTCCCCTTCCCCGATGTTGCCAAGCGTAAAAAGATCAAGGAGAAGAAGACTCCGATGTATGCGGTGGCAATCACGATTCAAATTCCGCTTCTCTCTCGTAATATGGGACGGCCCGGTTCGCGCTTCAATACGCAAGCCACCGACTCACCCAAGGCCGGGATGTCGTGCTCGCTGGACTCGGATCATCGCTGGCGCGGCGGTTTCCTGGATGATAGCCTGTCGCTTGCATCTCCACCGGCAAGCTTGGACGAGCGGATTGATCTGTTGGTAGATCACTGGGATGTGATCAACCGCACCCTGTCACATTTGGAGCGACTTTCTCGGAAGGAAATCTTGTTTCTCTTGAAGAAAGTGGACTCATTGGGAGCGAATCCGAAGCCCGCAAAGCCTCCAAACATGCAGCGTACAAATCAGACGATCGTGCATCTACCGGCGAACATACTGGCCGTGAATTCGAAGCTGAAGGATGAGGCTTTCCGCAGCGCCCGTCGTATTAGCATTGCTCTACAGACTCCGCATGTCGTGACTGGCCAAAGCCGCTGGGGAGTTTGGCGTGAAGAGGGACGCTCAATCGTTCGCAATCTTGGGGACAAAGAGCATAGCTTTTTCTTCTTGGTTCTGATCACCGCATTTTTGGGAAACCATACAGAATGGCTGAGTACACTGGGCCCCGACTGGTACCGCCGGCGGCATTATCTCCAGCAAAAGGCTCAACAGGACGCAGACCCGGTCCTTGCTCACAGGACTGTTATCATTTCACCTGACAAAATGACGGCCCGGCGGCTTATATTCCTACTATCGGCTTTCCTTCCGGCCAAGCAACGCTTTGAGCCACTTCCGTCACCGCTTCGTCCAGGCACCTCGGCGTCAGCACGTGCCGTTTCGCAAAGCCCACCGACCGTGCCAGTTCTGAGACAGGAACCCTTGCGCAGGGCCATTGAGCGGCGATCGCGCGCGCAGCGCCTGGCTGATAGCGACAATCACCAGCGGTCCGTTAGTGCCTCTTCTAATGAGACAGCGCATCGATCGGCGGATGACATCGACACCTCGCTGCCCGAGCTTGGTCCGCATCGCAGAGGCTCTGATGCTCGCTCTATTCGAACATTGGGTGTTCCCATGCATAGAGACCCGCGTAATAAAAACGCCTGTGTAGCGACAACCTCCACGGCAACTCCCAGCAGCGCTGTTCCGGTTCCCCATTTTGCGTCGCGGCAGACCCGGCGTGACCGAGAGGATCCTGATCCGGCTGAGCCGGGCGCCAATGACAGTCTGGCGTCGGAAAACCTGCTACGAAACCTGCAAAGAAGCGAGAGTTCAGCCATCAGTGCTAACAGCAATGTCCCTTCCAATGGTGGCCGATGGGGGAATCTGTTTTCCGGTCTGTGGAACTCGCGCCAGGAGTCGTCCACAGCCGAAGACAGTGACGCTGTCCCTGTTGCCGAACCTCGAAAGCGTTCCGTGTCTGCTTATGTCGGCCCCTCTAGGCGGAGCCCTCCAACACTGAGTCAGATGGTGAAAGAAGTTTCAGGCGAGACACCGGGAGAAGCCTCGGAGACTACTACGAGTGGCACTATCACGATTCCTCGATCCTCAAGTCAGCAAGGGCGGGAAGAAAATACTCCAGAGCCGTCATCCGTGCCGGAGCAGAACAGAGAATCTTCCCTGAAGCTGTCCGTGCGGGGAGACGATGGGATTGTGGATGTGGAACTTCCACTTCCCGGGTTCCTTTCCCTTTCGTCGTCAGGCGATTCGACCATAGCATCCCCGAAAAAGGCGCGGACATCGGTCACCAGTGTTGATGCTCTAGCGTCCACACACAGCAGCAATTCCGGATTCCACTGTGGCGGTCTCAAGGACAACGACGGACCCAGCGTGAATGTTGCCGGTTGGCTGAAGAATTTCCACGACGACTTTTTGCTTCAGGGCGTGCGACCTTATGCCGGCGTAGAAGCCGACATCAAGCGCGCAATGCAAGCCGAACCTACTCCTAGTTCCGCTTTTTCCTTTGAACCTGAAGGACAAGGAAAATGGGTGGATGTCGCAACAACCTTGATTGCAGATACCAGAAACTTCACAGTCAAGCGGCTTCGTCTGAGGCGTAAAGTTGTCGGGATTGGTTCTTGCAGGAGTCCATCTACACCTGGAGCTGCCTCTCAACCAGGAACCCCCGCCATCTGTTTGGTCATCCCACATCTGCGTCACAGCTTACAAGCTTTTTCACCAACGCGTCCGCTTCTAGCGGGACGTCTGCGAACTCTGTGGCAGAAGCCTTTGACGCCCCTGAATACGAAGAGCGATTCGTTGAGGAGCCTGTCATGGATTTGGATGGCACACTTGTTGATGCGCTGGAGCGTGTTCTCGCACAGAGTGGTCAGTCATCGTTGGCGCACTCGAGAGCCCAGTCACCGTCGCGTGGTCGGAGGGGCGAAGATAAAAACACTTCTGATACTGTCTCTCGGGACGAGGTTCCATCTATTGAGGTTCCTCGCGCGGAGTGCCGCAAGATGGTGCTTGGTGCTCTCGAAGAAGTGGTCCGCAGTGTGACAGCCGAGCATTGCCGCGAGGACGTTGACGGGGAAGTAGGCCTTGCCGACAGAGAGCGCAGACGCTCATTGGCAGGAGCGGACAATACCCTGAGAGAAGGTATTCGCAAGTGGCTACTTGAAGTTGAGGAGGCTTGGTGATATTTCTATCCCGTTCTTGCAGCGATTTTGCATATCCATGCGTTTACCTTTGACTTCTAACTTTCTACATTCGTTGACGGTCATCAGATGATGATACGTCAAGCACCAGTCTCATCGAGCGTGCGGATGGTACTTTTTATGTTTCTGCAGCCTGAAGATTGCTATGATACCCCTGTGTTGAGTGTTTCCTTTCGATTCATGTATGATCTATGATATTCTGCGCACTTCAGATACACTTGCCATTAACATGATGTGAGCTGTGCCTGTTGATGTCACCTAAGTTTCTTTTTAGAGATAATTTCAAACAACTACATTAAACCTTCTCGCATCACACATGGATTAAATGGAATAGTATGTGAGACTGAGAATTGTGTTTCTATGCGAGAGTACTCAGTAGCGACGATAAAACTATTTGTGAATGCAGACCACCTTAACATTCGCATCGTCAACAGTCACAGCGTCACCGCTGGGCGAAACGCGGACACTCTTGAGCGTCTCGTGCGCCTTACTAGGATCCACCACCTCAACCTCCACATCCGCCACCAAAGTACCGTTAACCAGCAACTCCAGCCCGTCCAGGGCATCACCCTCCGGGACCTTCAACTTGGGATTGACAGGAGTGACAGAGCCCGGCCGAACAAGGATAGGCAGGGTATCAAAGTCATGCGTCTCGGTATACCACTGACCAGCCTCATACGTCTTGGCATGATCGAACCACGAGCGCCACTTGCCGCACCCGTCCTCCGGCGTCCGGGGCACATAGAAGGTGACGGACCCGTTCTCCGAGAAGACAGGCGCGACGAGCAGGTTCCCGCCGAACATGTACTGCGTGTCGAGCGGGTAGGTGTTGAGGTCGTCGGGGAACTCGAGGAACATGGGTCTCATGAGGGGGACGCCCTGGCGGTGGCCGCGCAGCGCCTCGAGGAGGAGGTAGGGGGTGAGGAGGATCTTGCGTTTGACGCAGTCGCGGAGGACGGCGCAGGCGTCTTCGCCGTAGATCCAGGGGACGCGGAAGGAGGAGGACCCGTGGAGGCGGGAGTGGGACGATAGAAGCCCGAACTGCACCCAGCGTTTGTAAAGGGCTGGGGGTGGGGTTCCCTCGAAGCCGCCGATGTCCGAGGCCCAGAAGATATACCCGGAGAGCATGAGGGAGAGGCCGCCGCGGAGGGACTCGGCCATGGCTTCGTAGGTGGATTCGCAGTCGCCGCCCCAGTGGACGGGGTAGGCTTGGCCGCCGGGGCGGAGGAGCGGGCGAAGAGGAGGGAGTTGGCGGGGCCGTAGCGGGCGGTCATGGTTTCGTAGACGAGCTTGTTGAAGAGGAGGGTGTAGTAGTTGTGCATGCGGGCTGGGTCGGAGCCGTCGTGGTACTGGATGTTTTTGTAGGGGATGCGCTCGCCGAAGTCGGTTTTGAACGAGTCGACGCCGAGGTCCATGAGGCGGCGGAGGTGGGCGACGAACCAGTCGCAGGCGGCTGGGTTGGTGAAGTCGACGATGGCCATGCCGGCCTGCCAGAGGTCCCATTGCCAGACGGAGCCGTCGGTGCGCTTGATGAAGTAGCCCTTCTCCTTGCCCTCCTGGAAGAGCGGGGACGCCTGGCCCACGTACGGGTTGATCCAGGCGCTGATGCGGAGCCCGCGCTCCTTGAGTCGGGCCAGGTATCCCCCGGCGTCGGGGAACATTTCGGAATCGAACTCGAAGTCGCACCACTGGTAGGACTTCATCCAGAAGCAGTCAAAGTGGAACACGCCGAGGGGGATATCGCGGTCCCGGAAGCCATCGAGGAAGCCGGTGACGGTCTGTTCGTCGTAGTTGGTCGTGAAACCTGAGGACATCAGCAGTTGCATATATCCTACAAAAAAGGGAACGCACTGGTGGTAAGCCAGAGGTTATAACTCCACGAGGGGACCAAGCTCGGCCGCCCCGTCAGCGCCGTATAACGGCCCACGATCTCCTTAGGCGTCTTCCCGTACACAACAAAATACTCCAGCTCCTCGCCAGGAATGGAGATATTGACTCGCGTGGTGCGCTCGGACTGCAGCTCCAGACTGACCTTGCCGGGGTTGTTCACAAACACACCGTACCCCTTCGAGCTGATGTAAAAGGGGATATTCTTGTACGCCAGCTCAGACGAGGTCCCGCCGTCCTCGTTCCAGATATCGACGCGCTGCCCGTTCTTGACGAAGGGGCCGAACCGCTCCCCGAGCCCGTACAGCTTCTCGCCCACGCCGAGGTCCAGCTCGGCGAGCATGAACCCCTGGCGCTCGAAGAAGATGCCGTCGTCCCAGCGCGACTTGTCGGTCGTCTGGTCGCCGACGTAGCCGATCGAGCGCCACGAGTGGCCGGTCAATTTGCCCTTGTCGGCGCTGGAAAAGACGAAGTCAAGTTCGTTGGGGCGGTGTTGATGTTGAGCTCGAGGTCGCCGCTGGTGTAGCTCAGTTTCTGCTTTGCGACGTGGTTGATCTTGGTGTGGCCCGTAGAGGTGTTGAGCTTGTAATGCGGGCCCTTGTCGAGTCCGCCGCCCCTGATTGTGTCAACTAGAGCTCGGCGAGTGACCACAGACACAGATGAACATACCAGTGCACAAGTTTGACTCCAATGATACCCTCGAGGGGCGACGTAACCCGCGCAGAAACAGTAGCTGGCAGGACATTTGTCAGCTTTACCGGCGACTGCAAATTAGAAGTGTAACTCACGCGAGTTTAGTGTGTCACCACGGTGTCTCTGGAACTTGTTCAGAAGGAGATCCACCGTCTCATCCTGGATGTGCAGTCGTTCAACATTGCTCATCCAGTCGATGCGAATGCCCTCCTGTATACGACCAATTAGCCCCATCAACAGAACTCGGAGAATAAATCATCTCACCCTAAGGAGCCACATTCCCTCTGTGAACTTCATCTTTGACAATGTAAACAAATCACTCAAGCTCGGGTTGAACAGTGTAATGGACACTGCACGGTTGGAAGAAGAAAGCTGCGATGCAGGGAAGACCCGATATTATATTTCAGGTCCTCCTTCTCAAGGTTGTCCTCATTCTCCTCATTTTGAAACGGGCCGAGCCCCGAGTGCCAGCTTTTGGACTGGTTGTTCTCGACGTATCGCATGATGCAAGGTGGGCTGTCCTGGGCTTGTGGCGGGGTAGCTCTGAGGTCCGCCGCATAAAGACAGTGATCGAAATCTGAATTGCAGTTGTTAGTTCAGGAGCTATCATCAGCTGTCATTAACCGTGCAAAGCCGATTGACGCGGTTTTTGTTGCAAGAACATGTCCACCAATAATACATGCAGAGTGGTGATAGATTCTGCCTGAACGGCTAAATTGGTGGGCTAGTCTCGGTATAATCCTGACATCCGTGTGCTTAGAGCAGTATCACCGGTGGCTGATAATAGAACATAAGAGCTAACTTTTAATAGTAACTCGAAAACTAGGATAAAGTACAGCCGTTTCCATGTCATATAAATTCATGAAGACAATATGTCAAAGCGAGGGTATCATTCATCTACAGGATCAATTCATATTCAACGGCCGCAAACTACCACTCCGCGGGCTTCTGCTTCCCTTGTGGCTCAAGCTGTCATTCCTCGCTCGTGTCATCGCGTCGATAGTTGGCATGCATCCATCGACCGATGCCCTACTCGTCAACGCAGGCGGATGGATGTGATGGCTGACGACACTCGCGGGCAACTCAAGCGTGGGTATCGACGAGTCCATGAGCGCGGTCGGCGCAGGACCGACCTTCGTCGAGACGGGCCGCGCGTGTGACACGCTATAGAACTGCTCGAGTCTAGCCGGATCATTGCAGAACTCGACGAAGCTATTGAGAATGTGCTCCGGAGCACGGTAGAGTTGTGCGGAATCGATGCTCGGTTGTCCCTGCGGGCTGATGGGGCTGCCAATCTCGTGGAGGGGACGAACAAGCGGTGAAAGGCGTGGAGAGATACGGTCCAGAGGGTCATAGGTTGACGCGCGCGCTCGAAGATGTTCCGGCCGGTCCATCCGTTCGTACCGCGATCCTTCTCGATTGGCCGCAGCCAGTCGTGTACTGACAAGCCGGTTGGCCAGAAACAAAAAGTCCCCTTCATCGGTGATCTGGACCAGAAGACTGCCTGATCGGTGAATGTACTGCGGGTACTGGTAGTCCGGGGTGCCCCAGGAGTACGACACTTCCACATCGGCTGGGAACGCGGATCTCGCTTCAAAGTCCAGAACAAAATCAAATTTCCGCAGCATAGCTTTCTGGTAGTAATGTCGGTCCGATAAGCCCAGTTGCGAGAATGTAGCCGTATTGAAAACTGTGGGAACTGGTCCCGGAGGAGGTGGGACTTTGAGAGAGACTCGATATGGCTTCCTGAACGGTTGCGTCCTGCTGATCGCACAGCCTTCGGCGATTGGTACCTGGACGAGCTTGAGTCCAAACTTTTCGGCGGTCGCAGCCCAGGACAGCACAGTATCCTCGATCAGCTTCGGAGTGGTATTCATCCAGCTGAGCTCAATGTGGAAGCAGTTGTCCGGATTATGTAACCTGTCGTAGTGGAGATCGATGACTTCGGGTCTGTTCGACCGCTTGCGAGGGTCAACATCATATTTCATCATCTTCGATAATGAGATGGTAGCTTTGTTCTTAGACTTGGATGGGGTTGCAGGCATGTGCGGGGGAAGTGTCTCGACGCTGTCAGACCGGGAATGACCGTTCACGGGCGAGTCTCTTGGGTTCTCACTCGCTGCTGTGGAAGGTACGGTTTTGTCCGACTTTTTCTGAGGAAACCAGCTCCCCCGAGATTCAGGCCTGGCGACCCGGTATTCACTGGAGATCTGGTAGAAGTAGTTTCCGTCTCGAAAATTGTGCCTCTTCTCGACGTGCTGGAATAGACCGTGCTTCATCAACTCGTTGCCAAATTGAACCGCTTCTTCCCGGCTATCAATGTCGCGGAAATTCTGCAGAAGCCAAGTGGTGAACTCGAACCCAATGAAACAGTTGTAATGTAACCGCCAGTGCCATCTCCGATCCATCATCCGTACACCTTTCTCCCCTTGGATGATCTGCGCCAGCGACGACAGGCTGATACTCGACCTTTCCAGCAGTTCGGATTCCGGCAGCAGCTGCGCGGGTGAATTGTCCAAGCCAGGGTCCGAGAGCAAGATGCGATCTAACTCGGCCGCAACAACCTCGGATGGATTTCGTGTCTGGTACATGATATTGAGAGGATTCTGGTCCTTCTTCTCGTTGGAGGACTCGAACCTCTTCTCCTCAGGCGGGACGTACCTGTGCCGCTGCCATATGTGAGTAAGTTGATTGATGCCCAGGAGGTGGATCTCTTCCTCATTATCCTCGTTGAACGACTGCAAGTGTCGTCGGTTGTTGACCTGCAGCGGCATCGGGATCAGAACGTAGCGTACCCGCCAAAATTGCAGCTGTTGCGCTGGGTTGAACAAGTAGTCGCGGTGCCCGGCAACGTAGTTGTCAGCGTAGTTCCAATTGTAATCCTCGGCCGTCGGGTCAAGCTTGATGTTTTTGAGCTCATACTTCGTGCTTAGAATGGTCCTCATCGCTGGCGTGTAGAGGGAAAAGTCGTCCCTTTTTCCAGCTGCCAAAGTAGAAGAAGTCCGGCGCGTGAAACGCGTTACTTCGATTTCGCCGCCATCGACACAGATCAGCCGGTGGATAGTGTTTCCTTTCGAGAGGAAGACAGTAGCACCGTCCCGTTCCAGGCTGCGGGTGTCGAAGACATTCAAGGTTTCAAGAGCAGGTTGCCCAGACACCTCAGCAACATGTTTTCCAATGACGATCTGGAATCCATGAGATAATCGCAATGAAATCATCTCCCGCAGCAGGATGCCCCTTGTCTTGGGTACTTCGACGCCTTCCGGGTCATCATTCGGAAAGACGCGGTACGGGGTCTGCAGATAATCAGAACCCAGCTCCTGAGCCGTGGGGAATTCCTCGGTCGTCAATGGCAAGATGGCGGGAGACTTCAGGCTCTTCCATTTCACCACTGCAACATGGGGTGGTCGCGGGTAGGCATGTTGCCAGCGCCCGAACCAACTAGTATCCCGAAGAACGTCCCTTGACGTATTGCACGGGTTGATAGAACGCACCCAGGGCGCCAATGCCTTGTTCTGTGGGCTCTTGATTGACGATTCGCGAGATCCGCCGCTCACCGTAAGCTCGAACCTGGGCCCGTTCTTCGCGCGGCTGTCCCGGCGGCCGTCCCCGGTGAAAGGGATCGCAGTACTTGTCGTCGAGTAAGACTCTGGTAGAACCGTACGATCGACCGGCTCTGTATCTTCCGAAGGTTGCCTCGAAGGCACCTTGATTGAAATCGGCCTCGTTGGCGTCATAGCCGACTTTTGTGGCATCAGGTGAGGTGACGCCGGTCGCAATGAAGTGTCGATCACCGTAGAAATGGATGCAGAGTCCGAACCGCTAAATGACTCCACGCTTCTGGTATCCATGAATCCCGCAGAAGGCTTCTTCTGGCCTGAGGTGGGCTGCGCCCTAGCATGTTCCACATTGACCTCCGTGCTGGCCTGAGCTCGGGGCGGGGTGGCGCCAAACCCAAGGAGAGCGAAACTGATCGTACGCGACATCCGTGGTGTTCTCGCAGCCGAGGGAGTTTTCAAGGCAGGCTTCTTGGGGGAGGAGGTTTTGGAAGGCACAGGGCTTTGGGGCACCGACAGCGATGGTTCGGAAACTCGAGGGATCGTCCTAGTGGGATAGGAGCGGTCGCCCGAGTTGGAATTGGTTTCATGCTCTCTCAGACGCAACACTGACCGTGCAGAAAGCCGGTCATGCGCGTTGGAAACTTGAACCTCAGGCTCGCTCGGCCGCTTTGGTCTGGAAGACTTGCGCTGCTGTCGCCGTTTGGCAAAAGGCTGAAAGACCGCCTCGTCATACTGGTCCATCCAGGCAATCACCTGGTTGGGCGTTTTCTTCGACCTGGCCAGCATTACATCTTTGGGGTTTGTGATATTCTGCAGAAAAGGTTCGGGTCGCAGGCTGTCGCTCAATTGAGCTTTGTAAGTCGAATTGCGCCTGAAGGAAGCCCTAGACGACGAAAGACCACTCGGACTCAAACCGAGACCAGCATTTGAGGGGCGGGAAACGCCCTGGCCCTCCAACAGATAAGGAATCGAGATGTCCGACTGCTCGCTCTCCATCACCCCCATCATTTGGATTTCGTACATTCGGACCCGTGGCACAAAGAGCTTGGACTGTTTGGTGACGGTGAAAGGAATCGGCGCGTTAGGATCCTTCTTCGCAATGCGCCGAGCTTCTCTGTATGTTTCTGGATTCCAGTAGGAGATATCAAGCCAGTGGGGTATGCCGTAGTTCCATTCGTTTGAGCGAGCGGAGAGATGTTCCTTGTGTGTCATTCCTGGAAACGAGCCTTGCATGGTAGATTTTGGTGATAGATGAGGAGTCCGACTAGCAAAGCTGAACGACTGGCGCATCTCAGGTGAATAACCGCTGCTGTGAAAGTCGCCGAACGAAGAACTACCGGATCTTTGCACAGGCGCTTTGTACTTGAACAGCGGCACGGAGTGCAGAGGCATTGGGCTGAGGCAGACCAGGTCAATCGCAATGCCACGATCGGCGAGTGCTTCCGAGGTAGAGGATAAGGATTCATAAGACACTTCGAAGACACCGCTTCCTGGAGTTATGACAATAATCGAGGTACCCGTATGGACCATATCACGGTCAATATGATCGTACGCAAGGTGGGCAGAAGCCAAGTGTATTGCTTCAAGAATGTTCCCACGCAGCGCGGTACTTGGTCGCCCTGCGATGATTGCCGGCTTGTTCTTCGGAGCAACCTTGACCCCATCCACAGTAGGTGTATCAGGACTATCCATCTTTAGAATCGAGACATCTCTCAAGAAAGTCCGGAAATCCTTCTTCAGCTCATCGAGAATGGTCGTCCAATGACCACTTGCCATATCATTGACCACGACACGGTAAAAGTCCCTGGTCGGAACATGGTTGGGGCTCGAGATGCACTTCAGCGATTCAGAACTCAGCGGCAAGGGACCTCCAAGAGCCGAAGAATCGTACTCGACCCTCGTAAACAGCACGATCGTAACCAGATGTTTCGCTTCCGAGTTGGCCCAACGCTTGAAGAGCTCCGGCAGGAAGCCATTGATCACTCGGCTAAAAAGGATGTCGCCCGTTCCCTCGGAGTCGAAATCCCACATCTCCCGCGACATCTGGATAAAGAGGACATACTTGGCCGACTCACTCCGGAAGACAGGGATGGTATGCGGCGAGAAGTAACCAGAGAGAACCTTTTTGCCACGGATGAAGATATTCTTCACGGTAGCTTTGATGCTCCCCATGAAAACGATCTTCTGGCCCTTGTAGATAATCTTGTCGGCGAGCTCAGACATCACCAGTCTCCACATATCAGATCGCACCAGGAACTGGTCGCGAAAGGCGATATCAACGTGCGAAGCGGAGCATTGCCCCGATCAACAACGGAGATATTGACCAGCGTACGATTCTTGAACCCAAAGATATTGGCAACGCTATGGGTCACCGATATCTCCAACTTCGGATGACGGGCCTTGATCTCCTGCGGGAGAGGCTTCACCACGAACAGACACCTGCTCTGCAAAGGCGTCTTGAACTTGGACATGAGATCCGGGAGGTGCGCCGAGCTCGACTCCAGATAGCTGTCGCGGAGCGACCGAGCCCCCAGATCCGACTTGAGGCTGTGTATGGAGTCCCCCGGTGACCGGACAGATAGGATCTCGATCACATCGCCGACGTTGACACCTAGGTCGCTGAACGCCGCCTGGTTGAAGAGGATCTCCTCTCGGGAGAAAGTCTCATCGTGGACCCAGAGAGAGCATTGTCGGCGTTCCAGGCTGGCTGATGACAGCCGGATGGTTCTCTCGTCCGGCGTTGCGTGGACGTCTTGATGGCTGTGCTCGTCATTGTAGAGGGCCTCCGGAGACTGCGACTGAGGCACGGACAGGGTGTCTACACTGGGCGCGCTCACCTGTCTAAGGTGGGAGCGCTTCATCGGCCCACGCAGAGCCATTCTCTACACTCACAACGTGGATGTCATTTCATTTCATCAATGTCACGTGTTGTCATCGATGGACAATGGACCTTGCATTGGTAAGCCAGGTCAGTTAGTTAAGAGGTTATCATTTCATCATCTGATCCCCAGAAGTGGATACCCGTAGTGCCAAGCCAAGCATTTAATGTCACGTGATACATGACCATAATTTATGCCTGAGGCAGATATATTACACGTGCGCGTCACGTGAGAGTGACCCTGTCTACAAAAATGCCCAAGGCTGATCTGGTTTGTACAGAAAATAATGGAAGACGGTCTCCTCAAGAGTCTCGACCCTGCTCTCCTACGGTTGGGTTTCCAGGTTCCAGTCACCAGTCGAGACTAGTCCTGACTCGAAAAGCTTCTGCACAGCTACAGGAGCGGTCAAGAGTGACAGTAACTCCTTGTCTAGATAACGAATCCTCTATAGCGCGCCAACTGCAGTGTGACTACTGACTAGGGTCGTTGCCTCGCATGAGATGAAAGCATACCACTAGGGTATCTTAGTAGCTGGTCTTGAAGATTGCCCACCATTATCTATCTAGACTATCTAGATAGTACGGAATAATTACCAGCCAACCATCTAGTGTACAAGACTGCCGATGGTCTGTGCCAGTGGTGCTGTTGGGATTCACAGCTTTTGACCAGATGCCATCTCAACCATTTCGCTGGAAATACTGGGACCCACTGCCTTACAGCTGTATCCTCGGCACTAACCGATGCCAGTTTTTGGTACTCGGGATTCGTCCCTTTACAGGAGTCAATGCCGTCTAAGCGTCGGGTTAATTCTTCAGACTTGAGGTGTAATGCTGAAATTGCTATTTGGAAGGCATGGGACCATGGTAGATAGTCGCCTGTCTGTCAACAAACAAGAATTGCAATGGAAGTCAGCTAGTCGTGGGCTTCCGTTGTATGAACAAGGCATCCTTGCATATTACGTGGAATTTCCAGCAGTACTCCGCATGATAGTCACATTCTCAACTGCAGCATGCAACTTAAGTAAATAAAACCCTAATCAAGAGAGTTGTTGCAGCTTAGAGACCTGAAAAGGGATGAGGAAAGGGCGTTGGTACGAAACAGGGAAAGCCACTAGGGCTCTTTAGGCAATGATTACCGGGCAAATACCCGATGCGGCAGATCTCATACCCTGCGTAAAGCTGGTGTAACTTTCTTTAGAAAAATAAAGAAATCATCATCACAATAATAATAACAAATAAATACCTCTATAGACGTATATGGGTAGATGTTTGCAACAAAAATGATTCCTTTTGACTCCAATTTCAAGACTGGGGGCCACTTCTCATCATGGCCTCCTGTATGGATGTATTGTCAGCGATCCACGAGCATGTGAAGCAGCCTATCTTCGATATAACGTCAGACAATGTCTTGGAAACTGACGGAGCTTCTATGGAGCTTCTCCCCGATGCCATTCGCCGGTCACCACTATCAGCCAAACCACTTTGTCTGCATGAGGTCGCTCCAGTGATGCATTTTGGCAACGAGGCTGAAGGACTGGTTAGCACCTGCAAGGTAGTCTTTCAGTATTTCTCATTAGACCTGTTAGTGGACGATTGTACGCCAGGTATCTAGGTCCTCGTGACCATGAGAAAGTCATGTCACTGGGGCCTACTCCGTAGAGGCTAGAACAATAGTCCCCATTTAGTCTCACGCAGATGCTGCCTCAAAGTTCATGACCCTGTACCTAGTTTTTCGATCCTTTGGAGACCATGGAAGAATCTTGGAATGAGCTCCAATCAGAATGCGAAGCGCAGCGCCTTATGACGACAACTTGCAGCTGGCGTGCGAGAGCACCTTCCTTCTTCTCCCCGTGGCACTCACCGTATAGATACTGGTGTGCCGAACTGGGAAAATGGATCGTACTCACCATACAATCTCGAAATTTAGTCCACAGTGGGTTTTGTTTTTTTTAATAAAAAGAAAAAATGAAAAGGGGGGGAAAAATGGAACCGACTCATGTCGGATAGCCAGGGGGACAGGAGATTTTAATATAAAACCTCGGGTTGTCCACTTACTCTCGACGCATGGAACTGCTGGAGATTGACAAGTAGCAAATTGGCGGGCGGGCGGCAGTTTTGGGGATCTGGCTAATAAACTATCGGGCTAGCAGGACCTTACCGCTGCCACGGATCTCTCTCCCAGCAAATGGCAGGAGACGGATCGGTGGGGATAGGCCCACTATCAATGTAAGGAATTGGGTTGCTTGGGTTGCTTAGGTTGCTCGGTCTCTTACTGTTTTTGATTCTCGTGCCATCCCGCCGGGTCCTCCCAATTCTTAGGAAAAGGAAAATGAGAAACAATATTGTGCCAATGATTTCAGAGGCTGTAAAATGTGGCTGTATGATGACGCTCTTCCCCAACATGATACGGCATAGACCGCTGCATTACATGGGTAGGCAAGGGTGAAATTTTTAGGTGCGCCAAAGGTTAGTGTAAAGTGTAATTCAGGTACGAATCAGTCGACATGTCGTTTTCCCAAATGCCTACACCTATCCGAGTGCAGGGGGCTGCGGCAGGCATGAAGCGTGCATAGCGAGACAACCAAGCCCAACTGAGGGAAAGAGAAATCTGGAGATTTGGAAAAGAGAAGTTAGGGGGGAAAGAGCAATAGTAAAAGAGTGGGAAAGGAAGCAAGAAAAGTCTCCATTCGTCATTGGCGGCGGTTGATAATGATTTGTATCCGTAATCTGGCGTTCTGAGCTCAACTTGGTCCGACAATCAGCCACATCACCTTAGTAAAAGTCTCTGCAGCATCAAGCCAAGTGCCACAATAATAATAAATAATGACCCTCACTGAACTGAATACGGCTTCGAACACGTTCGTTGGAAAGAGCGGAGTGGGAAACTGTGGCCCCATCGACGAAGAAATTCCACCTTCAGTAGTTGCACTGGTCTTCTAGGCGTTTTAGCGCATACGATAAGCGGAGGCTTCCGTCATACCATCGAATACCGGAGACATCTTGGAAAGCTCGTAATCTATTGGAAGTTGACACCATAGTTCTATAGGAGTAGTGGTATGTATCTTTCGCGATGCGAGGCTTGGTAAACGCCCGAACCTAAAGGGGTCGGTCATTCCGCATGATATTCATTGCACGACCATCCCTGCATTATTCACGGACTGACAAAGATCGATCTCTGTCGCAGAGGCCCGATGCTCGAGGGTATGGGTTGTCCCTGTTTAGAGAAAGGAAGGCAGGTGGCCTTGTGCTCAGATGGGTGTCTTTATGCGCAGACGCCTTAACATAACGAATGACTGCAACGAGTCAGCTGCGGCTCACGTGTATAAATGCACACAATGCTGGAGCACGGTTGCTATATGGTTAATTTCTGTGGTGCTCTGAAGAGGCTCCAAGGTCAAGCTCCGGGGCATGTTGAGAGATGAGATCCCTGCAAACGAGCCACGCTCTTGCAGAAGATGGATCGTTTGTCGACATTCCAGATAACCAGCGAGTCGCTTTGGAAACTTGGTCTAGCACTCGGTTGTACCTGACGGTGCCCGCTTCTGACAAAAGTAATAGTTGAGTTAAAAGAACGGTGGTTGCTTGCATCAGATAGTGTAAAAAGCACCACCAGGGAGAGACCCGGTAGACCCAGGATGCCTGGGGTATTGTAGGAAGAAGATCGAGCATCTGCGCCGCAAAATCGACACACATGGTCGCCATCGTCTCGCACGCAA